TATTATCAATGCTGGTATTTGTTTGCACGTACCATAACTTTTTTTTTATAGTTCATTGGGTAGGTAAATTAATAAGTCTAATGTGCGTATACATATTTAATTTTTACTGTGTGGTCAGTGTTACCGTGAGTATACAATTTATTACCTATTCCATTCGTTGTATTTTTATTGTTAACATGGTTAGTAATCATAAATTAAAAGATCAAGAAATTTTGGAATTGTTGAACGATTATAGTTCCGAAATAGATGTGTTAGACAGTGACGGAGAAGGTAAATACAACACAAATTATAATTATTTTTTAATTTTAATATTATTATATTATATCTGCGTATATCATGTACATAGGTTTTTTGAATTTTTGACGTCGATATTACATTAGGTAGGTAATTTTATTGTAATATGCTCTTGTAATTTTTGATGCATTTTCTGCGATCTTTGTGTGTAGATTATAAAAGTATTTAATATAAGTGTTCGATTTTAAATTTAGATTGCACTGACTACCAGTGTCACCAGTGTACCTAGCAGGGTCAGGCCAGAACCTAGCAGGGGCGGACCCAGAGCTTAATTTGAGGAGGGGCAAAAGTGCAAAACATTTTACAGCATTAGTAAAACACATATCAAGGGTAAGTGGGTATTAATTTAATAACTTTAAACAATGATTAAACTGAATACATTAACAAAGTATAATAGTATATAAAAATGGTTATTTAAAAGACCTTGTAAACTCAAGACCTAAATTATGTTTAATTTACTAATAAACCAAAATTTATAAAACAAATTCTAAATGTTGCTTATGCTTATTTGCAAAGCATTCTATAAATAACTGTGTTAATTACTTAAATCTAACTCCTTATACACATGTAATAAACAAAGACCTGTATGTCGAGTTTCACCCATCCAAGACCGGAACCAAGTTTTCATTCTTTGAAGAATTGAAAAGCTTCTTTCACCAGATGCTACTCTAACAGGCATTGTAGATAATATTTGAAGATACAATTTGATGCCAGGAAAATCATGAGCATCAAACAAGAGAAAGCTTCAATAGCATTGTCAGGACATATATTGATCCCTTTTGCAGCAACTATTTTTCATTCAACTTTTAATGATAGCAATGTTTCTAAATGGAAATTTTACTAGCGAGATACTTTAGAGAGGTCATTTTTGATTTTCCCAAGAGTTTTTCCAGAAAATATAAAAGACAGGGATAAATGGAAATAAAACATAACTGTGTAACATTATTACACAATTATGAATGTTGAACGAGATGAAGTTGTTTTTAAATGGTTTTCTAATGTTTTGTCACCTGAGCTTATTCTAAATTTTAGAAGCTCTAAAATTGCCCTCATTTTATAGGCCAGAATTGTGTCAAGAAATCCATCATCTCTGTGCCCTCTTAATGCTAGATTTTGTGGACCACAAAATATAACAGTTTCAACAATTGGAACCAACCTTTGTTTGTTTTGATTAACTTGAATAGATCGTTGAGTATTTATTTGGTTTATTACAACTTTTTGTGAATTATGATATGCAGCCAAAAACTTATTCCTAGTCTCGACAGCAAATTTATGTTATTTATGATTACTATGGGTTTTTAAGTCACCATCCTTACCTGTTAGTTTTGAAAAATTTGTAAGTGGTTTCTTAACGAAATGTTGAAGTTTTACATTATTAGATGAATCAGAAACAAAAAAGACACAATATTTACAAACCAATCCTTTCATATTATCTGATAATACTAACCACCGATTATTTTGTAGGTGAACAGGCAACAAGTTTCTTATAATTTCTTATCTTTGGTGTATGTGTACAGAAAATGGGTAAATGGATGGAGGAACCCAGTGTTTTTCAAGCAATGCACATTTTTTGAAGTCATCAATAGAAATTAAAGTATCAATAAACTTCCCAATATTCAAGCAGTCAACCATTATGATATTATTGCTTTCACCATTCTTTTATAAAAATAACAACATAAAATATTAATCAACCAATTATTATGTTTTATACATATATTATGTAGAATTTAATATTTTATATATCATGATTAATATCTAATTTTAATATTAAATATAAATTAAATATTATAGGTAGTTAATGAAATTTCAGTAGGTATTTTTTTATTTTTTTTTTTTTAGTTTATAAGAGGTTTTAATAGTACTTATTAATACTTACTGAATGAGTTATCCTCGTGTCGGAAAATTAATTATTCAAACTCTTTGAACTTAGACAACAGAAAATACATCTTTTATTTTTTTTTTTGTCTTTTAGTTTTTTCTGTGTTTGAAGTGAATTCAAAACTAAACTCTTTTTTATTTATATTTTTATTCTACCTAAAATAAATAATAAAATACGAATAATTTTATAGTTAATAGTTATATAGTAGGTAGATAACAGTGGCACCTATTGGAATTACCTATTTTTACTATGATCCAATTTACCACTAGCATAGCCATAGATAGACAAAACACAAATATATTACACTAAGTAATGTCATTATTATATATACCAATTTTCCAATAATAAAATCAAATCTCTGAATTGTAATTATCATAAAATGTTTATTTAAAGGCCAAGGAAGACAATACATTTTTAATTTACTTTGAATACAAATTAAAAAAAAACAATATTTCCATGTATAAGTACAATTTTGAAAAATTTTGTAATCTAGTAATATTAGCTATGTAGAATATAATATTTGTAAAAACCTAAATAAATTAAAAATCTTAATTTGTAAATAGTGTTGGATTTTTACAAATACCAGAGACTTATGAACCTTTTGAATAGGATTTTCATTAAAGCACATTTTATAAAACTGTGGTCACGGATCCACAAAACAATTTATCGAACAAATAGTTGTGTGGACATTTTTATAATTTTATTCTTTAAGTACCTATGTACCCATACACTTGTATATTACTATATTACTACTATTACTATTATATTACGACTATACTATATTACTATATATTATTTATATTGTCAACCTTATCAGCACCGTAATTGTATATGTATTCAGAATTAATAACTATAATACGGACACACAAAACAGTGACACACCGTGTTTAGAAACCTAAAACGAATATTTATTGTCTTCAGATATAGATAAACTATGAGAATCAAGAGGTATAGTAGGTATCATAGATTTTTTTTTTCGTGTTCAGTAGAACATTTATCTGAAACAATTACATAGCGTATAAAATAAATTTGATAAATTTGTATGATTGTTATTTACATCAGTTTAGTTCAAAGTAGTATTTGGTGACAGGAAAGAAGAACTTATGTCCATTATTGGCATTATTTTTTAAAAAAAATTTGTCTAATGTAATTCGTTCATCTTTATTTTTTGGTCTAAATTGCATACATGTATATTATAGTGTATACAGCTATAATAAATTGAATCTATTTAATCTGAAAACAATAATAATAATAAATTTAATATTTTAGTAAATTAAAAATGTCTTCGACAGGATATTATTTTTAAAACATAATATTCATTATTCGTTTAAAACAGAAAATATCACCACAGTCCTCTATGGTGAACTTTTATAGTATTTTAAAACCAAATACTTCTTTGAACTTTGAACTGAACAGATGTAAATAATAAAAATACAAATTGTTGTGCGGTGTAGTTGTTCCAGATAAACGTTCTTCTGTACGCGAAAAATAAATCCTCAACGATTCTTTTCATCCCGATTTTCATAATATTCATTTATATTTGAAGACGGTAAAAATTTGTTTTAGGTTTCTCCGTCAGGATCCCTGTGAGTGTCCGACGCTTGTGTAGTAATGTGTACTAATGCATTTATAGTCACGGTTGTTGATTTGGTCGACAATTAGATTTATAAATTATTCATAACATTATTGTTATTGTAATAAAGATTTAAAAACGAGTAGGCAGGTATTAATTATTATTAATTCACATTGATATTTAAAAAAAAAAAAACTGATCCTTACCAATAGAAAATTAATATTGGGCACATAAAGAGTTTTAATAACGTCCTATCAACAATTATGATTTTTAATTTATTTAGTCTCTACACTTAAGCGTACATAGTACAGTTGGTTAAGTACCAAATTCTTCCAAAATCGTATGGAATTATATATCTAGTTTAATGTTTGAAAACCGGGAACTTTAGACTGCTCCAGGAGTGTGCTTTCCCGAATTGCTTTTTTTAGATTCTGAGTGGAGCGTGGGATATATTGGTTTTACAATGATATTAATTGTATTTTATTTTTCTGTGGACAACTTTTTTATCGGCAATTTAACAGTGATTTACAATAATGGCGTTTTTTCCAAAACGAAATCTGATTGGGGTGATACTTTAGGGAGATCATTTTTTGATTTTCCCAATAAATAAGAAAAACCTAGGATAAACGTTGCAAAAACGGCAAAATAGGTACAAAAACAAATATTATCAAAGAAAATATATAATATGATTATTTTACCAAAGTAATTTGACATAATAATAATATAATAATATATATAAATATATCGTTGACAAAGCAACACTATCAACCGAACTCCGCTCAGAATCGTTTTATCGTCAACAATGGTTAATCGTTGCGTACACTTCAGATACATTAAATCATTCCTCTACTGCCTTCCCAACTTCTCACCCATAACAGTGGCTGCACCCGTCCCCATCGTTATTCTAGGACAGTTTTTTTTTTTTTTTTCAAATTCAGAGCCCTGAAATGACACGTCGGGGTGTAGAAACGAGCGCCTTTCGAGAATTATTACACGCGCGGCGAATATTACGCAGACATTATTACCCCACTCGTGTTTTCGAAAACGACGAAAACGAAGCGTCGTCCGCACCGCGGGGATAAAATTCGTGTGCGTGCGCGCGCGCCTTATGGGTCGGCGGGTGGGAAGGCGGGCGGGCGGGCGTCTGTACGACACGCGCGTTCGGGTGCGGTCGGTCGCGGTCGTCTCGCCGCTCAATCGAACACAGGTCAAGGGACCGGCGGCGGCCGCCGTCTGCCGCCGCCGCCGTCGTCGTCGTGCTCGTGTTTGCAGCCTGTTGTGAGCGCGTGGTCGCCCGGACAGTCCGTAGTCGTTGTCGCAGTCTCCGAGTCGGCCCGAGGCGTCTGTTGTGTCGGTTTTTCGCGCGCGCAAAGGTTTATCCGCGCCACGCACCGTGCACGATATCAATTTCGTTTTGGATACGCCGACGCGTTTAGCGAACGCGCCTACGTTTTCATATTGCTCCCCGCGTCCGTCGTTTTCTCCCCTCGGATATATTATGGCCAGCACGTCTTCGGGCCCGTGGTCGCCGTCGACCAGCCAAAGTAAGTACCTACCTACCTACCTACTTACCTAGATACCCGTAGCGTTGGTTTTACAGGACGTATATACGCCGCAGAGTCATATTCCGCCGTGTCGGTAATCTGCGCGAGCCCGAATTTATTACTATTGTATTGGGGCTGTGCCGCGGTTTAGCGTCCCTCCCCGGAAATTTCGAATAATGTATACGTTATTACACTGTTACGAAAAACTGCGGATTCTCATACGGGGTTCCTGCCTCTCCCCACACGCGGGTTAAAATAAACACTATTCGCCCCCGTACGATCCGCGTGCGTGTTCAAGTATCGTCCAAGTCGTTAGTATAGTCAACATACATAATCTATTTATAGTATTGTTATTAAACTACAGTTTAATCAAAATAAATCTGTATAATATGTACTGTTCACGTCAAAAAAACTGTACCTTGTATACATTCAATATCAATTCCAGCCACTTAGGAAGTCACTTATCCGTAGGCACAAATAATCCAAACATTTGTTTTGGGGAAAGGGCTTAAGCCCTCACAGTATTGATTATGTATGCGTCGAAATTAAGAAAATAAGAACATGATTTTGGGGAGGTTCGACTGGGTGTTATTAGATAGAGTCATGGGGACACCGCCCCCTCCCATATTCACCAATTTATGATTCCACAAATATATGTTTTAAGTCATAGTGATTTTATGTTTTATGAATACCAAACATTTATAAAATTGGGTTCTTCACATATTTTAATAATACATTATACCTTTTTTCTATTTATCCGTCAATACAAGAGAACACTAGACTAATGATCAAAATGCCGAGCCATGTAAACCATGTGAAATTTATTCGACAGAATTTAAGAGTCGGCGGGATTTTTTTTTTTAAATTTATACAATTAACAAATTATCAATTTAATTTCATCTTCTTCGTAAAAATTGTGGTTTATTGAAATGTTTGCTGGTTACCTTAACACTGAATATTTAATACATGAAAGTCAGTGGTCGAAGTGGTGGGGAACACGGGGGATGACATCCCACCACTTATTATAATCTATATTTTTCATCCCTCCACTTATTTGTCCAAAATAATACACCCCTCTTATAATTATATACAAAGATTATCGATCTATATTGGTGTTTTTATATCATAATAAATCATTATAGTCTATAGACTATAGTAATGACTAATGTATAAATAGTTTGGTTTCTTATATTTGTTTTTAAACCTATTGTATAATAATATAGTGCATACTATTAGAACCTATTGATAAACTGTATGTACTTAAATTATATAGTTATGTAAATATGTTTCACGTTTTAAATAAAAATATAATTATAGGTACGTGTAAATTTAAATACATCAACAAATAAAATACCAAACTGAAAAACAAAAATTTATACTACATATAAAATTGCATTATAAAAATAAGGTACAGGGTTATAGGGTTCAACTCATATCTCCATCTCCAATCACTTCCACGTATATAATCTATAATATTAGAATAGTATAAAAGTTCAGGCATCCCTCCACTTATTTTGAGCCGTCACTTTGACCACTGATGAACGTTAAGGTAAATTAGTGAAATAAACTTAACTCAATATAAATATATATTTAATTTATATTAATAACAATAAACCTTTAATTAAACAATAAAGTATCAGTTGGCAATAATTCATATTTTTAGTCTGGGGATACCACCACCTAATTGGTTATGAGGCCATCGCCTCATGAAATACCCTATTGTGCCGCCACTGTCGACAGTTATACGTGGTACTGTCAAATCCAGAAATTATTCATTGGAGGTGGGGGTATTAAAATTGAACCACTATCAACTACCAAGTTTAGTCGTATTTCATAGAGCAGCATACCTAATACACCATATTATTAATGATATTTATTTTGTGTTATTATATACATTGGGTGGGAGGGGGTAATTATCATATTACTTCCCACCTCCGTCTTAGATCCACCACTAGTACTACCTCCATGATATTTCAATATAGCGTTTGAAAGTTTAAAACCATTTAGTTTTAATACTAACAAAACCACCTATAGCGATTATATTCAAATTAATCTTGTGTTTGAAATTAATTTGAGTAGCTATTTTGTTGTTAAGTATTAGAATATTTATATTTTATACCTTTTATAGTATCGTATACCATTTGTATCGTTTGTAAATTATACCAGCTGTCCTTAACCGGTGGTGCCGGCCAGTTATTTATTCATTTTAATGTTTGTGTCTTTTAAAAATGGAACTTCCTTGTTTGTCATATCCAAATTTAATAATAGGTACCCTATAGGTGGTTAATTATAATAACTGTGTTGTTTTACTCGAGCAACTAACGGAAATGGAAAATCACCAAAAAAAAAAAAAAATTCGCTGGTATTTAAAGCCTACGGGTGCTAGGTGTTTCTTACCTCCCACAATGATATTTTTATAAGATTATCGAATTATTATCATATTTCTTCAGATATTTTATAATATATATGTATATTATATATTTTGTCGTTATATAAGTCTACGTTGCTAGACATTTAAACGTTAGGTACCGGATTTCTTGATTTTGATAAGGAAATTGAACTGTACATCAATTTTTACACGACGATAAATGGGCCTAATTTAATAATTAATAAATTATAATTTAACTCTTGAAAAAGTACATTTTTATCAACAGTTAAAATTTAAAATATGGTTTATGCAACTGATTTTATTTTAACTCCAGATAAACGAGTTTATCTTTGTGTAAATATTTGGTACAATCCGGCATAATAATCATAAAGTGTAAAAATAAAAGAGAACTTTTTTGGTTTTTTTATTATCAAAATCGACATTTTAATTACATAGCTAGGATAAGAAAAGGAAGCATCAAAGAAAAATAAAATACACAATTGTCTTTGTTGTGTGTTGATTAATATATAATGTGATATACTACAGAATGTAACCGTACTACTATTTAACAAATGTAATAACTTTGTTTCTTTTTAAACATTTTTAAGCTTTTTTTTTTGTTCATAATAATTATTAGAGTTTTATGCTATAATTATTATATTTTTTTATTTTATTACTTTAAACTAAAAAAAAAAAAAATAGATTTTTGATATCTTAGAGTTATTTTATAACATTTTTTTTGAAACAATTTTTGGTTTTTAAAACTATCATTAGGTTATCATTAATTTTTAAAATTTATTGAAATTAAAATGTATATCTTGTTAGTTTTTCCAACGATAAACGATAAGCATTTATCAGATTCACAGCTTAAATCAATATAATAAGAATATTATCAAATTGTATAATATTTCATGGACAAATCAAATAACCCATTTTAAAATTTAAGTGCGCAAAAATGTCATATTTTACAAATTTTAAAAATCATTTAAAATTAATTGACTCAACTTCAGTAAAATTCGCTGACACCATAATTTTTCTAAAAATAGAATTTATAAAATGGCTACCTATCTCGATTTTTTTTTTATTTTAAATCAAATTTTATACTTTTTATTTTTAATTCCTAAACATTCAAATTTAGCTAAAAAATATTTAAGTTGTAGCGCTAATATGTTATAATAATTTTAAAAAAAACTCAAAAATGTTTAATAAAAAACCAGTTATTACAATTGTTAAATAGTCCTGTTAAACCTTGTATATATATATTTTATTAGCTTGTAATTTGTAGATATGCCTTTTATTATGCCGTACATTTCAGTTGACGTACTGAGAAGCAGGTATTTCGAAAAGTGCACGTGACTGATAAAAATACGCTCACGTACGGTTATTTTCGATTTTGTGCATTATTATATGTCTCACGGATATACTCTGTCGTTTTTGTTGCGATCTATATTTAATAAAAGTCAATACAATTAAGTTTTGCTCGGAAAACTTGTTATTTTTTCTGGTCATACGTTGTACAGTCTGTACCAATGTACATATTATAGGATGTGACATGAATAATGATAAAAAAAAAAAAGTTCTCTGTAGGTATACGTATATATATTTTTATAACTATAGAGGCAGTACAGTCTATACTGGAAACAAGGGGTACATAACAATAACTTGTTTTGTTGTTACAGACTTGTAACTTGGCTACCGCAGTGATTTATTGTATTCGTATTGGTACCTATAGTTTTTTATATTTCATTTTTTTTCCTACCTTGATGATCAGCATGTCGATTGTCAAATTGTCGACATGTATGTATAATATTTGTACCCAAGATAGGCAGAACGAGCGGAGTCCAATTTCATCAAAATTAACGTTATGTTGTTTTTTTTTATTATATGACATATTGTCATGCGTATATGTTTACCCATTTTCATTTTAATCGTAAGCAGCACGTATTCACAAAGCTATTGATTAATCAAACATGCGTAAAGAAGTATAGTCTAATTTCAATTTACGAACAATTATGGTCCAAGTTCGGGTAGCATATAGAAATTAATGGAGTCCAAAAGTTCTTGTGCGATTTATCAATTCGACCAAAGTCCAAAATATTTTAATTAAATCATTAACAGTATACAATAATAACATGATTGAATAATTTTTTAGATTCTGAGCGAGTGAGGAATATATGCCGTATTTCTTTTATTAGGATGTATTTTATTTTATTTTTTTTTGTGTCAATAAACAACTCTTTTACCAGAAATATTGTTTCAATCAAAAACTGTATAGGAATTTTATTGGTGCATTGAGGAAATTATTTTTGATTTTCATCGTAGTTCTCTTAATAAACAGTTTTTATTTTTAGCAAAATACAATTTGTTACCATTTTTTATTAGCTTTTAAACCTATACAAAAACCGTACTTGATATATTCTGTCTTTAAAATATAGAAAGGGGTATTTATTAAAAAGGAATGATTTAAGTATTACAATTTTTTAGTTTTTAGATTTGATTTACGACTCGAAGCCGAAACAGTTTTTGCTCAACAAATCTTCCTATAATGCGATTAAGTAATAATATTTTGCGTTATAAATTCGAATCTTAATCGTGCACGTGTGCGTAGTCTTTGCGTTAACGGTAATGTAGTCATTAAAGTTGTTCGGTCGATTTTATTAACGCTGACGATATTCAGCAAACAGCCGCCCATTATGTATAAATACGTATTATGATACAGGTACTTTATATCGAATACACAGACGTACCGTGTATTGGACTCGGCGTGTATATGTATACAAGCGAATGTTGTCTCGTCAATTCAAAAGATTGGAAATCGAAACGTATTATACACACTACTTAATATATACACTATACAGTTAAATACAATGTACCTACCTATATAGTATATATATATATATATAGGTAAACGAAACCGTTTGAAGTTTATACTATTATAAAATCACGATTGACAAAATAATATTGCATTTTTGTTCCACTTTTTATTCGCGATTTTCTTCAATGATACAGTTAGGTACCTGTACGTCAAAGAGACTTTTTCTTCACTTTCTAAAATATAAGCATATTTATGTACTCTATATTATACGATCAGCTTCTCAACGGGTTGTATTATATACATTATTAAATATTGTTTCACTTAACAGAGGTATAATGAATAAACGTATACGCTTTAATATAATACAACGTGTACATTTTAAAAAACCAATAAAATGTATTTAAACCAGAAAACATGTAGAATTATAAACGTTGTATAAGAATAGTGCCCTGGTAATGTATCGAAAAGAAACCTATTGATATTTATTTGATGATGGAAATATGATAATACATGTAAACGTTTTTATTATATCATATATTTGCAAATTATTAATATTTTATTGCAAAACTGTGTGTTTTTTTAAAAAATTATTATCCTATGATTTTATCTAAGATATTTATCTAAGATTTAATGATAAATTGAATAAATTATATACTATAAGTAACTGCGTAACTATACCAATTCCTTACAGTCGAATAATATCATAATCGGTCTATTTGCTTGGCCTCGGTCCTTTGATTTCTGGCTACATCGCGATCGGTCATGTTATTATTATTGCAGAACATTACAGAACACGACTTCACCTGTAGGTTACTCGATGTTATTATCATTATGGGTATGATTTATGAATAATCATATAACTTTGGCGAGGTTTTAGAATAAATTGTAATGTAGCTGTATAAGTATGTATAATATATATGCAGTTCGAATAGCGTATAGCACAAGGAACAACAGCTATTTAGTAATATTACTATAGTAACCTTAGTGCACATTTTCTTTTAATATATTTTTATTTATACATACCTAAATACTTACTTATAGTGCTGTGTTTAAGTATCTATTTTTATTTATTATGATTTTGATTATTATCAGTTTTTAATTTTTTTCCTTTTGCGCAATACTCGCTGTCTAATATTATCCTAAAAAATAACGCGTATTCTTAAAATATTTAGGATTGACATTATTCCATTGATTTTTTTTAAATTATTATAAATATATGTGTATATCAATTATTAAATCGTTTTTAATTATAAACTAACAAAATTCGAAAAACTATAAAAAAAAAATATATATATATACACAGATATGATCTTATTTCACTTTGATCATCTCGGTGCAGGATAATGGTATACAATATGAGTGATGAAAAACTATTCTTAAAGCTTGTTTTGGTTTTTAAAATTTTCAAAAATTCTAACACTGATATTTCAACTAAACCTTCATTGATTTATGGACTTTATATATATATATAGTTTTAGTATAAGTTGCAATTTTATAAGAAAAAGTTGATAGTAATTTCATACCACCAAATATAGGTTAGGCTAATGTAAAATTCGAGTCTTAATATAATTTCCTAAATAACGACGAGTGTTGTGTTTTAAAAAAAATACCGTGTTCATCGTGACAGCGTCGTGACTTATAGCTTCTATTTGTATTGACGACTGATGAGTCTAGTTATGTATATTATAACTAATCGGTTATCGTAAATGTATTATATTGACAGTCATTGCAAAAATATATAATATAGTGCGTATATATGTTTAGTTGCTATATATGTTAAATAAAATTCACACGATTTAATTTTTATCTTTTTAAAACAGGTATTATCGTGTAATCGATACGAATTGAAATCCGTTTAATTTGTATTGAAAACTTAGGTGTAGGACGTAAGTGTCAATAAAAATAATTATCTATTGAATGTGTTATATTAGACGATATTTTTGCTGTTGATTCAAGTTGTGGTATATCGTCGCATACAAGCGTAATATTTTAGGGTATAACTTCCCCCTCCCCTTAGTATCGATTAAAAAAACTATGCACACAGATTTTATGGGGATTTGATTTGAGAGGGCTCGGCTTAGTTTCGAAGAAGAGGGTTGTTTGCGCCAATGTATATTTTTTTAATTATCGTCTTTTTCAAAAGATACTGTATACAGGAGTAACCAGGATTTTATACCGTATTATTTACATCGGAATTTCAACATCTATTGCCGTCATCGATAAACATGAAAGAGAAATGTGATTTGTTTAGAAGACTGTTTTAAAATGTCGGAAAAAATAACAATATAAACTGCAGTGTATTTGGAACGTCGGAAATGAAAGTCTGAAAGACCAATGGCCCGGAAATTTGGAAATTTACGACATTCGTCATTTCCGATCGGGAATTGATATATTATCGTTTTTACTCGGTCTTTCTTGCATCATATAATAATATAATACCTATATAATATCAAATGAATTTCGTCGTATACGTATTATAACGTATTTATATTTAAATTTTTCGATTGAAATAAAATACCAAAACAAAACGGAACCTCTATCTAACATCTATACCCATGGAACAATAACTACATGACTTGTATATCATTTGAATTTTGATGCGCACGTATTTTTATTTGTAAATACAATTTCAATTAATCAGACTATATAAATACTATCCTGTGTTTTACATTATAATACTTATTATTGGGTATTATTCCAGATATTATTGTGTATGGTGCTTTGCACAACTGCATCGACCGCTACAACAGTTTTTTGTTTGTATCGGTTTACACGTGCACTATATATTTTATATTATACATGTAACAATGTCAATGTGCATTTCATTGTTTTAAAATTACCGGGACACATCGAGTAAACCGGCCATATTTTTGTTTTTAATTTAGTTTCGATGTCAAAATACGTCAATCATACACATATTAACTGTTGTACAGTGTGCGTTGTGTTTTATATGGAATTAAATGATTATCAGCCGAAAATAGAAGCGTTATATACCAACGTTCTGATTCTAAACCGCTAGTATGGCGGAAAGATCATAGATTGTACGCGAAGGAAATATCGTTTTACACAATATACACAATATAATAACAAAAATACAAAAATGTGTGAATAAATACACGCGTTGACATAACTCGGGACGGTTTTATAAAGCAATACTTTCGTGACTGCGTAATGTCGAAGACCAAATTCAAGTGTAAATACAAACATTTTGGGACATGCACAACCGTTAAAATCCGAAAAATTGCATTTTTTCTTTGAGAACGATTCAGATGTGAAATAGACCGAAACACCATTTGAAAAGCATTATATCAAAAACAGTCTAGAAGTTATTTTAGCATAAGAATCGATCATTAACCTAACTATATATAGTGACTCTGCTTTTAAGAATACCTCCAATAACATCTCAATGTTTTAGCTGGAAATGATAATTGAATACTCGGCGTTCTCCACACAAGCTTTAAAATTTTTTATCACTTTCCTTTCAACATTTCTATATGTGAAATTAAATTGTACCATTTATTAAATACAAAAAAATAAATATACTGTATAGAAATAAATTGAACGTGGAAAATGATTTGAGACTAAATTATTAATATGATGCATGCTTGACTATATTGACGATGTTTTTGACAATTCCAAATTACACAAAAATCTCATTAGAGTATTTGACCTTTTATAATCTTTATAATACTCAATAATAATTTCACCGAAAAAATTAATTTATTACATTTTACTTATTGTACAACGAATGCTTTTATTTTCATAATTATTTATTTTTTATAATATTAAAGCTTAAAACTAGAAATATTAAATATCTAAATATGTATAATGACACATACATTTTTCGATGAGTTTTCAAAATTTGTACGCGTTGTCATTCAGATAAAAAAACGTTGAGAATTATGCCGTTCTATGTTGATAGTATAAAATATACGACTGCATACTGTATGTAAAAAAAACATACACACTATAGCTTCTTAAGGTTAATCTAAAATTTGATTGTAAAAATGGCAAAAAAAAAATATATTTTTAACGTTTGATAAATTCTTCAATAGTTCATTGTTTTAACATCTTTTTTTTTATATACTTTAAACAAAACGTATATTTTTCATATTCCTATAGTTATTTATTTCTTAGAGCGCTATGTTTGTCATATACTAAGAAGGGTATCGATACTGGCTGTGTTTTCTGTTAAAATAAATCAAGAATAGACCAAGAATGACAATTGTACCAATTTTACCGACTGTCCTAGTAATCGGATAAAATTTCTGAAAATATGCTTGAATTCTTCACCAAAATTTACCTACTTGAAAACGATTTGCTTCCACACAACTATACTTAACTAAGATAGTTGCTTCTTACAATAGGCCAAAGGTTGATATTTATAAAATGTTACCTATATATAAAAAAAACCTTCTCGGCCGAACCCCTTCTCCTTGAATGGGTATCAGGCAGTAGATTGTAATATATCTCAAGCAATATCTCATCATTAGGTGGTTATTAAAATGTAAAAACAAAGTACGAATTTTACAAAATTGGAGACAATGAGGAAAACCGTCAACAAACCTCTTATAAACGGAAAGTTTTCGGACAAAGAATTATTTGGTTATTTTTATTAGGATGTATAATAGTTTCGAGTTCTAATAAAGATAGGTTTAAGAGATATATTTAAACATTTTTTATTAATAGTTAATTTTGTATTTTGAAAACTTGTGTGTAGGTACCTATAATCAATAATTATACAGTTCAATTCAAATTGATTGATTTTACCTTGTGAATTTTATATATTCGTCTTTGGAGTAGAAAAATAAAATTAATGTCCGATTACATAAATCGATCGAATTAAAATATGTATGTATATACATTGCAATCGTGTCGTAACTACATTATTTTATTATTATTTATATGTTCAAAATTAGGTACGTGATGAAAAAATACTAGTACTAAAAAATTTATATTATTATTATCCGCATCGTCTTCACCGCAGTATGTGAATTATGTGCATTTTCGTTAATATTCAGAATATATATTTGAACCGTGAAATGCAGGAAGGGTACATGTTCATATTGTATATAAGATAAAGACAAAAATTTAAGTAATTAATATCTGAAAAAATAAATTGCATGATAATAATGTTATAGTGTTAAATATTCATTGAATATGTGCTATTTCTGCATTTAGCGATTCATTTAAATGGTAATTAATAATTTATGTGTATTTTATATACAATGTATACTACAATAATTGCGATTGTATTGTTACAAAATATTAAAATAATAATAACGTTATCGCGTTGCGAAAAATGATCAAATATAAAAACATGTTTTAATGCCATATTTCATCCTTATATATATTTTTATGGAAAAAAATTCCAATTGGTATTATAAATTGTAATTAAAAACCATTTTGAATACAAATTCTTGATTGCATTCAAAATTAAATAATATTCAAATGTTTTAAATTACTTGATTACTTTTTGCATACATAATATGAATACTCGTTATTGACATGAAATGTTACAAATAAATGATAAACTATTATATAGCTGGTTTTACAGTTAAAATGCCATGTAAATGCGTGACTTATAATATAAGTACATATAAGTACATAATATAAGTATATATAATACAATATAGTCGTAAAAAGTTTGTAATAATTCAACATTAAAACTACACATCGAGTACAGTAGAATTGATAAAGTGGCATAAAATTGTCTTCACAAAAATAGTAAATTTTAAAATTACATTTTGTGAGGTACACGTGTATAAACATTTTTAAAGCTTACAAAATTTACTTTTACTATTTCAGTTTAAAATTAATCGAGGTTCTACAGCATTGTAGTACGAATAAACAAAATTATTGTATACCTAATATACTTAATTTTAAAGGGTGAGACTATAACTAGATGCTCTTCTCACATCGTTATTTTAATTTGAGTTTACAAATAACAAATATTGCGCCTATTTACGTTTTACTGTTTTCCAAATATTCTGAGAAGAAATTTGAAAAAGATTTTTCTAGACTTATAATATCTACCATTTGTGCTCTGCATTAACAACTTAACACGTCAATAATTCATTCATAAACTGATAAAAAAAGTCAATGTAGTAAGTGGGAAGATTTAAGTTTGAAAGCTGTAGGATATAGGATAATCATTGTAATAAAAAAAATTAAAAATCTAAGAAAATAAATAACCAATTTATCAATGTTTGTATTGTCAATTTTATAAATTGTATAGAAAACTATTGACAATCTAGACATTTCTATAAGTATAGTACCACAGGTGAACATTTTAAAATAGGAGTATTTCACTCACAAAAAAGAGATACATTATAGTAAATCTATTAGTTTTTCGCTTCATTTAGAAACTAGACAAAAAACAATTAAGTATAAAACTTTTTAAGCATGTTATATAAAATGTTTACTAAAATTGTTTAAAAGTATACATGGATAACAATGAAAAACATGAAAAACAAAAGGCACACACACACAACACACACCATTGTAAAATTAATAGTTTTTTCGCTCCACCGGGTTCTATCTAAAATTAATTACCAAAACAATGATATTATTATAGAAACAAGATTTTTTTTTTGTATACTACTTACAGTTCTTGGCGATGTTATTTTTTTCTCTTTAGGTTAATTAAAAAACGTATGTGTCCGAAAACAAAACAATTTTTCCCGCGGTGAACACTGGATGATGATGTCTGAGATTTCCGACGTTATTCCTATTTACGAAAATACTAGGTATACACTTTCAGAGTTTTCCGATGACATCGACAATAAGTTGTTAGTATTATGACGTAGCAGTAGTGTTTTGTGAAGAGCTACGGTCGGTGATTTTTTTTCCGCAGTTTCTTTTCGGTTTTTTTTCTTCTGTCGAACAACGGCTTATTTCGTACCGTCGTATACACAACATGAATATACGATTTTATTCCACCCCCCCCCCCCCCCGGATCGAAAAAAAAAAATCGCGGACATGACGAATCGCGCGAGGACCGCCGAAAAAAAATGTGGTCCGTGCCTAATCGCCGACGCCTTCTGCGCGCGTGCAACCGACGCCGACGACGACGCCGCTAAGGAAACGTTATAGAACATATAACAATATACAGGGCGATATCATAATATCTATGGAAATTTCCAGTGATTTTTATTGGAAATTTAAGTTTCGTTTTGTCGACCATTTTCTGACATTATTTTAACATTTCAGAACGGTTTATTGATATCGTTAAAATAAAAAAAAAAAAAATCATACCCCTATTCAGCGTAATATACTAAAGGCCAATTTGCGATAAAATAATCATCCTGTATATTTGTGCACACAGTGCCTGTATAATGTTACGCGGTCCCGTTTTCCATCGGACTTAATGCTCGGGCAACCGCAACACAATTATTTTAAACGGCTGTACGACTGTGCGTGCATTTTATTACTGTACAGTCGCGTTAAATGGAAAAATGAAAAATACGGATATTGTCGTCAGTTTTTTTTTTTATTTATTTTTTTTTTTTTGTTCTTCGACGGTACTTTGTGTACGTGCAATGTCGTCCACTCAACGGCCGAACAATTGCAATTCCGCTTCGCCACAACCGATTGTATACATATATACATGTGTATATACAGAACAATATACTTTTGCTGTGCGCATTCGCATTGTCTGACATTCCAAGGGGGCGAAAGCGCGTCGGATTACGCGACGAAATCGATTCGCGAGCGTCTCTTCCGTTGCGGGCCGACCGCCGCAGTAATTATCAATTTCAAACGGAGTTTTCTCCGCCTTTTAGACTCAGAGAGACGATGATAATATGTTATAATATCGTGGTTAGGTCAGGTTAGGGCGTTTAGTAATTTTTATATTTTTTATAAATAATTTTTTCGGGTTAGTAAAAATGAATCGTTCTCTTTATATAATATACCTATATGATTGGGCAAAATACTGAAAACAAGTATATTGATTGGAAAATGAAATGCATTCATTGTATGTATCTCGGTACAAGATACACGATAAAAATACAAAATATACAAGATATATAATTTATAAGATATTTTCAGTTTTTAATTTTCGTAATAGTTAATTTAGTGAATATTTTGTTATAATTTACAACAAATCAAATAACTATTCGTTTAATTATAACAACCTACAATTTTGAATATTAAAAATACAAAATAAAATAGAATAGAATAATAATTAATTAATATAGGTAGTAAATTTATGTGAACATTTTATATTAAACATAATCGAAACATCTATTTTGATGTATATTAAATGTTATTTTTAGTTTTTTATTTTAACTTCTTTTCTTTACCAATAACAAAAAATGTTTATGTACAAATATTTTATCTTCTTTTAGCACAAAAATATTCTCAAACCAAGATACAAGATAGATTACATATACTGAAAAGATACAAGATATTATTTTAGTTATAATCCATGTATCTAGCTCTAATAATAATATAAATTACACAGAATATGTTGCTTTAAAAATCACACGCAAATTATTAAGAAAATTGTTGGAAAACATTTGAATTTATATAGGCGTATTTATTTATATTGTTTAACTATTAAACAAAAATATTTTAATCTAATTTTTGATTTTATCATATTTTTTCTTTCTTGTTATTAATTTACTCTATGGGATTCTGTCATTTGTTCGCACACAGTTATTAGCATTTCTTTTTCGATCTCTATTTTTGGACTTTATTTACTATTGTACAACTTTTTTTTGTCCTCATTTTATCGGAACAATAGATAAAAGTTCGACTTTCTAAAGACTTTTCTCTTTAGAAATGTCCATTTCCAAAACGTTTTTCAGCCGACCATGAAGAATACTACAACTGTATATACTTAAACTTTTATAGGATTAATTTTTTAAAACTATTTTTAGTTTGAAAACATGAAGTTTTACCATTTTAACCGTTTGTAAACATTGTAGTTTTTGTTCATTCAGGCGGTAATTCATAAAATAATGTAACTTTTAGTCTACGTAATAATATCGTATATATTTCGCGATACAACCTGTAGGCGCAGTTATTGTTACCTACGAACACAAATTCCTTATTGCATTCGAAATTTTCGAGTCACACATTTTTTCTATAATATCACGTTATTCAATCTTTAAAATCTCGGATAAAGTCTTTATTTTTTTTTCCTATCACATATTTTAATATTCTAAACACGTATCTCATCAATGTGATTGTAAGACGGAGTATAATAATATAATTTATAATTCAAATGTATCAACCACCAGCGCGGCGGCGCTTTTTAACTGCATAGATTACATCAAAAGATTTAGGTATACCGACAAATAAATTATTAACGTGTACCTAATGACTATAAATTGAATAATATTATAATGTCTTGCAATAATGTCTTGATATAATAAGGTACCCACCATAGTTAGTTAATTTATTTATTCGTTTAGATAGTATATAATTATAGTATTTGTTTAATATATTATAGGTTAGGTTTAAATATAGGATAGATTTTAACCCAAAATCCTCAACGGCACAGACTTAATAAGTTAAGAGATCGAATTTTTACCCGCATTTACTGTCTCAGTCTTACAAACGGGCAAATTGTAAAATTACGTTACTTAAAACATAAATTGTTACATTTAGGTGAACATTGGAGTTTAAACACAAATAACAAAATTTAAAGAGGAGATTTTTTTTGGACAAAATGGCATACACATCTAAAATATTGAATCTAAAGACAGAATATTGGAAGTTCGATAAGATCTCAATGTCGGATTTTGAAATTTTTAATTAATGGGGGGCTCATAATAGAATTTTGGAATTTTGAAATTTGTTTTCCTTGTAGATTTCTGGGTCGCCCTCGTTACACGAAAAAACCTGAAAGCATTTCAAATGTAATCAGTTAGCCGAGTACCACTAAGAATTTTTTTCCTTTAAAAATCCTAGATCCTACTCGGCTAAACCTTATCAATTTCTTACCTTCAATAAGGCGTGAAGTATTTTACATTTATATATTATATTTTGTTTAAATATTATTTAAAGTGTTAAGCACTTTTAATATATGTAATTTAAACATTATTTAGTGGAAAACTTTTTTCTTCAAAATTATACAATCTGAAACGTGTTCGCATTTATTTGAATAGGTAAGTTTATATAAGTATAGAAAATATTTTATACAATGATAAAAAAATAAAATATAATTAACAAAAATATTTTCGTTGGCTACCTATAGGTAGTACTACGTACGTATATAATTATAGCGAACAAACACGCAATCACGTAATGTCTATGATGCATTATACACTCTGCAGCTTAATACTAATATATGTTGTATATATATTTAAAAAAATACTATATAACACAATTCGAGTTCTAAATACTTTTTCCAGTTGGAATAGAAATAATGCGACCTATGTTTGTAGACCTATGAAATATATGAAATTATATTACACAACAACTGTAGAAAATCTCTATAGTTTATAGTATAGAATTACGTAGTTATAGAATAGCGATTTTTTTATAAGACCTTGTCATCGGTAGCCGGTACGCTTTTTCGCAAAAGATGTTTGATGTACGCAATTCGAAATAAACGACGAAAAAATACGTAGTCGTTGAATAATCGAGGGCGTGTGCATACTGAAAAATATATTATTATAATATCGTATAGTACCTATATTATTTATATACGTGTCTAGATTTAATAATATTACAGTTTCCAAGTAAACTGATTTGATCTTATGATATACTATCAACATAACGCTAGACGCTCATTATCTCGGAAAGTATTAACTTTTTTCGGAATTTGTTTCTTCTTTTGTGTACTTCACTCCGAAGAAAAAAAAGAAATACCAATTTGTTCGTGCTCCCGCATAGCGATGCAAATATATTTTATCATATGCAATGCCTATAATATATTTTTTTTCTCTGGCACAAACAAAAAACACATTCGGCGTTCTCCCCCCCCCCCCAATGTAGCTAATGTCTGGAAAAATTACCCAAGCATAAGTTCGTAGCACTTTTTTATACATAAATTTATTTCACGGTGCGCCTTTCTCGTTATTTTAATAATCTTGTATTTTTCAATAACGCGCTTTTACGTATTACCTATGTATGTATTTTTACTTTAGTGACCTTTTCTAAGTACAACTTTTAATACAGGCCCCAACCCTATACGCAATGCAGAAACGAATAAAAAAAGTAGTATAGGTACATTTTTTCAATTTCAATAAAGTACTATAGTTTTATTATTCAAATGGTTTTTTTTTATTTAAGTTAGACATTTATTATACCTCGCAGCCAGTTCTTTTTATTTATAGGTAATGTTTAGGAAAAAAAAATGAAAAAAAAACACGTAGTCTACCCATTATTGTTTAGCGTTCTAAATATTTAATAATAATCGCTGTGTAAAAACACATGTACAAATGTATACTTAAATAAAAATAGAAAAATAGAAAATTGTTTACAAATTATTACATTTCCTTATATGAATTAATGGTTAATAGTTCAGAGAAACAGTCGCTTAGTTGATATATGCGCGTATAATTTATAATAACATGATGTCGGAACTCAAAAAAAGAAAACAAGTGAAAGAAATCATTAATATACGTACGATATCTTAAACATTTGCAGTTATAGGGTGGAAACAAAATCTTCAATATAGTATTATACAGCATACTAAAAGAAGTCGACATACTTTGCACCGCATGGATGTGCACTGTTGTGGATGGGAAGTTAAAAAGTTATTATCTTAAAATACATCTTAATATTTAGGCAAATTTAATTTATATCTGCACGCAATAATAAATTATTGTGCTAACGAAATACGGTTCTTGCAAAGTTTACATAAACTTGTTTTAATAAACTTAAATTGAAAATTATGATTATAAAAGTAACAATAAATTAAATATTTCTCAACCATGGCAAGGAAAAAAGCAAGGAAATTCATAATAATGATATCACTGACTAGACAACATTTTCTACCTGTAGAAACCACCCCAGATGTTGAAAAGTTGTTAACAGACACAAAAAACCAATAACCTATAGCTGCTTGGTTGCATTTCTTTTTTCATTGTTTGTCAGTAGAAATCTACGTATAATAGTTACTAAGATACTACATTGCAGTATAGTATTATAATTTATTATTATTAATTATTTGCGTTGCATAGATCAGTGGTATACATAAATCGTTAGCACGAAAATCAAACTCGATAAAACATTGTCGGAATAATTATCGCCGGTACAATGATAAAAAAAAAATAATAATAATGAACCAATATATCAACGAATAATAGATCGCGACTTGACCGTCCTTGACATTGACCTTCCTCCCGCGCACTCTCTTTCTCATTCTCTCTCTCTCTTTCTCTACCTATCTAATTCTCTCCGGAACCGTTTTTTAGAATAAAATATCATAATTTTAATTAATTTTTACATTAGTAATTTGATTTAAAAATAAGTATTTATGGGAAATTCGACTGTAGTATATGAAATTTGGACGGTCTCGTACACGAATTTTAAAAAAAATCGATTGAGCATGTTTTAATTAGTTTTTTGCTCAATATTACGTGCACTATTGCGATTTCTATCTCCAGCTGGAAATTACACTGCATTTTTTTTCACATTTAACATTACGTTTAGGAATAGAAAAATCATGGTATTATAGTGCGTACACCGGAAGTTTTGACTGTGTTACATAGTTAACGGTAGGGCGTTGACACCGTACTTATAGATACTCCGGCCGGGTCCCTTTTATTATAATTTCTCCCCCCCCCCCGTCATTGGTTTGCATGCGTATAACCATACAACGCCTGTCGTGGTTTACACTTACATGGCGGTGGACTCGAAAGTTTAGTTATAGTCGAAATCAAAACGATCGCGTTTTGACCGAATACCTTCGTTTTCATATTATACAGTAGAATCACAATAGAGATTGTTGGAATTTTTTTTTTTTTTTTTTGTATAGTTCTGTGAACTTTGTGGTCCCAGTTTCACGTATAAGTGTACTAGAAATCGATAAGGTTTTATATGCGACTGCAGTGTATACAATACAAGTAGAATTTTGAATCCCTTGCCCTCCCCTTCCTAGAAAAAAGAGACCAGATTTCCGTTTGTCCGAAGACCCGTTTATACTTTTGTTAATATTCCATTCGTCTAGGTTTTGTATTGTAAAATATCCAAACAAACAATACAATTATGGCTCCTATTATATTATAAAATATTTAGGAATCCTATAGCAAAAAAATAAAATAAAATATTATAGTTTAACACAATACGTATAGTATTATACATATTATAACTAGTTCAAGTATTGATTAAATTATTTTAATAATATGATGCAGTGTAAAACAATATAATAATGACAATATGAGATTGTACAATTTGTTTACGTTATGTGTGTGTGTATGTGTGTATGTATGATGATACCAATAATTACGCTGGTATAATTATAAATATAGTTTTTGTGTTTGCCAAGAAACCGAAGAAACCACAACAAAGTGTTTTATTATTAATTAAAACATAATAATGTACAGTACATTATTGATACTTTAATTATTATTTTTAAATGGCTTGTCTTATCGTATAGTGTACACGTGCATTTGTCTTTTACGTCATTATATATTTTTTTTTTTATAATGCGATCAAGTATACCTCCGATACCTATATTTAAAATAACAATACGCACGTCCCCTTTGTTTACGCGTGCATTACTTCGACGGTAAATTTGGATTATAGCTCACAAAAGAACCGCGCACTTGTATAATTGTATAGTAATACGTCTAACGTGTATTTGGATGGGTTCTATGAAGTAGTTTATGAATATACCGAGTGAAAAAAATAAAAACTAAGATTGGCGACGTAATCTAAAAAAAAAAGAGTTGACGGGTGTACACTTCTATCGTAAGTAGGAAGTTGGGAAGGTAGGAAACATGAGATATTTATTTAATTTATATCTGTACACAACGGTAAATCGATCATTGCTAATAACTTTTGAGGCACGGATTTGTATGTAATAAAAAACATAAAGTCTTTAATATAAAAATTTGAACTTTAAATTATATTTATATAAAAAAGTTTTGTATACATATATATTTAGGTTTATTAAATTATATTGGGTTGTTTAGGTTAATTTGTTTTTTTTTTTTTATTTATTCATCTTCATTTTCTTTGAAAGAACGTGCATTTGAAGATTATCAAATTTAAATGTCTGGCGATTAGGCCTCAAAATCGATTTGTAGTGACTAAAAGAGCGTTCAACGCCAATCAAGGACAATGAGGAATATTTCATACTTGATATATGCTGATGATATAATTAATTCAATATCCATTGATGTGTTTTCATTTTTATTCAGAAGAATATTTTTAATAACTTTTAACATAATTATGGTCAGTATCAATATTTCTAGTAAATTTAATAGGTATCTGTTTATGAATATGCAAAATATTTAAAAATATGTAGAAATATGTATAATAAAAAAGTCGTATTTTATTCAGTGTGTTATGAAACGTGCTTATTTTTATTCGAAATTAAAATTATGTATTTACGCGAAAATCCACGTCTTACAAATAACGTATGATTATGACTGAAGTTCGGTTTAACATATTGTATTGAAATGCCGGATTATTTTTACGGTTTTCTTTAAAATATAAATTTTTAAAAAAAAAATTGCTACATTATGATCATCTTTTTATTTTATAGTACATCCTACGATGAATTTCGAGTAAAACTTCTTGGAAAATCAAAACTGACCTCTCCAATGCACTAAATAAATCTAAAATGCAACAAAAAAGATATCTTGTCGTTTTTTGACAGGAGATTTCTGGTAGAAAACTTTTACAGATAATCCATTTTAAAAAATATTTGCACACATCATAGTAAAACTAATACATTCCTCGCTGCACTCAGAATCTAAAACCTATTATGTGATGGAAGTTTTTAAACGTCATGTATTTCATTATTGTATCTTAAGAGTAACGTACTACATGTATTATATTTATATTATGTGTCCAATTTTTATAAATAAATAAATAAACAATTCTAGAACTAAAAAATATTCTAATATTCACTTTAGAACGAATCGAATAAATTAACTCTTGCTTCATACTATATGTGTAGTATAAGTATTTTAATGTATAATTATGCAATTTGTTTAAAAACAGATAAAATATAAAAAAAGTACCCTTCAATTTCCAACTAACTCGAATGATGTCTATGTATAATATAGAGAATTAAAATTAAAAAGTGGCCTTATTTTTACAATTAAAAAACACCGTCATTTTTCTATAAATTAATATGTCAATTACCCGATTAATTTGTGTTCTTTTTGATTTTCATTGTAGGCTGTAGTTTTACGCTAAACGGTATAAAAAAAAATTGTTTTAAAAGTTAATACAAAAAGTATAGATATAATATAATAAAAAGACAAAACGATTTTGTATGTTTAAAATATAACTCACGTATAATGGATAGGTACTGATTTTCGTGTGATTAAAGATTAAGTTAATTTGTTCGAATAAAAGAAGGTATTTTTTGTTGTTGGACGGCTCATTTTAAATTTATAACTCGTAACCACGAATATATTAGAATTACCTACACATAATCTAAAAGTCAATAAGTTCGGGTGTTGAATATATATATTTATATAACATTATTGTCTATTATGCAGTGTTTTTGAAACTATAAATAACGATAAAAAGCCATAGAAATAGTTTTATTTGAACAATATTTGCTACAGATTAGGAAATTGTTTTTAGATTTATACGCACGAGCTTGATTATAATTCAATAATTATTATATGCTTAAATAAGATATTATAATTAATAATACGTAAAACATGTATGCAATTATATATTTAAAAAGATACAGATATTCATCGCACGATGGGTGGGCCACTGTTGTAGGTGAGAAGTTGGGAAGGTAGAGGGGATATTTAATGTATATTTGTACGTAACGATTAACCATAACGAACCATTGCAAACGAAAAACTATTCTGAGCGGAGTTCGGTTAATAATGTTGCTTTTTTAACAGTATATACGTTATATTATGGTTAAATAATTGTGTATGCATAGACTCAACTATGTATATGGTTCAACTTTGTGATGAACTCCTGCGTCGTCTTTCTAATGGTGAACCTGACCTTATTATGAAGTATATTAAGAGTACCTCCCGCATAATAAATCCAAAAAACTTGTAAACCATCGTTCTATTAAATTGAATGGGGGTCATATGAATGATTGTCATGAACAATTGTAACTTTTCTGAATTTGGTTAATATCAAAATACCCGTGGTATCAGGACCAAATTGAATTTGTTAAATTGTAATATTAATTGTTTAAATTGTATCTTTATTGTTTTAACAGAAACTTGGTTGTATCCTAATATGTTTCCTTTAATAATATTTATTTAACATTGTACCTATTTTCTCGTTTTTTCTAGGTTTTTTTCCCATATTTTCCCCGGTTTTTCCCATTTTTTTATGAAAATGGCTGGAAAAATAAAAAAATGATCTATTTAAAGAACCACCCAAGTCCTTTTCCCCAGATTTCCTTTCAGAAAAATTGTTATAATTGAAAATCGGAGCAGAATTGCAGGTAGAAAAGTTATCCACAGATAAAAAAAATATAATAATAATAAACATCATTATAAAACCAATATATTCTTCGATCCGCTCAGGATGTACAATTAAAAAATTAACAGAAAATTAACAATCCATCATTTGTAAATATTTTTTATGCCAAAGTTTTATTTCAAAATATATTTATATAAAATTGTTGCGTAAAGAAAGAAAAAAGAACTGATACTGGAGATGGGTGTGAAAGGGAGAAGATGAGATACATAAGGTTATTTCATTTATATCTGTACACAACGATAAACCATTGCTTGACAAAAGACGATTCCGAGGGCAGTTCGATAATAAATAATTTGAAGTGCCGTAATTTTTTTTTGCGATTTTTATTTAAATTTGATTTCAAAACGCTTATTAAAAAAAAAAAGTCATTCGATGATTTTGGAAATTTAACCTCGTTTAGGTAAACCCAGTATAAGTATTATTACCAAAGTTCAAGTCTCTACGAATTACAGGAAAAAAAACTCTCAAAAATTAAAATTTCTCAAAAGCTCAGAAGTGGCTCAAAAGTTTCAGCGGTGATACCGTATGAAAGAAAATCAAAAAGGTAACAAAAGAGGTATCTTGTGATTTTTCGATTAAATCATTATTTTTGGTAGAAAACGTCGTCCGTGTTTTTATAAAATAATGAAATCATGAAATTGTACGTTTTCCTACGTTTTTTTCCCACTTAAGTGCTTTTATTTAAAAAATGGCATCGAAAATCAAAATTTCCTATTTAAAGTACCATATAGGCAACTTAAGCTTTTAGAAAAGTTGCTACACGTAAAAATCGGAGCAAGTTTACTAGAAAAAATGTGTTCACAGACTAGAAGAAAGAAAGAAAAAAAAAGCATCTTAGTAAAACCAATAGCTCCCTCGCTACGCTTGGAATCTAAAACTTAAAACATATTGAAAAGAACAATGCGCACCTATATATCATACTCGTTATTTTCGACTAACCTTTTTTGTCTTGCGAACAAAATGAAAATAGAATAATGTATATAGGTATAAAAGAATTGTCCGCAGGAGAATAGGTATTATTATGTAGAATAAATGAGGATAGTATAGGTGTACAAAATAGGAAGAAAACCCAGAGAAATTCCCTATATATTACAGATTCTTCGGAGAAAACTGAAAGGAAAGTATATTATAGATGGGACAGGGGGAGGGGGGTTTTGTAAACCTTTAAAATTCTATAGTTACACAGTGTTACGTAGATTCGTCTTCGAAATCTTTGTCCTACGGTAAATTAAAGAAAAAAAAAGCACAATAATAATATTGTTGTCGTATTATTATGAATTATAACGATGGTCGCGTAACGATCGTACCGCGCGTGTTAGAGTATCGTATTACGACACCAAGAGCGTGTATAAAAAAAAAAAAATGCACATTTTTCTTTGAGATCGTTGATAATATTGTAATTACTTTGTTTAACGCGTTAGTCGTGCTGTTAATCGTGGTAAAATAATAAAATAACTATATTGTGCTCGGATCGCAACAAGTGTGTTAGTGTATAATATATTTTATTATAATTTATCTAGGTATATTGAAACTCGGTCGAAACGTCCGAGCCGTATAAATACGTATAGGAACACGTTTGGTGGCAGAAAATCGAATCGGAAATTATTATTATAATGTTGTACGCAGTGTATAATATGCAGGATTTGAAAATTTCCTTTATATATAATATGCAATATACATGATATAGACACATGTAAAAAGGTATTATGAATGCCGTGCAAAATTTCTATTGTGTAGTACAATAATAATAATATGTAAACTGCGGAGTTTTTTTTTTTCTATAAAGACATCATACCTAACGATCTGATCCTCCTATCAGGAGCTGCGGGCGTTGGAATCCTGCCAAGAGTGTGCCTGAAACTAATAATTCGTATAATAAAATATTGATAAACGGACGCTTTCTTTGTCCCCGTCGGCACCGCACGTGTGCATAAATAATAAAACTGACACGTTTTACACCTTGGGAGTAATTTATTCGCTATTATTAGTTTTTTATTCGGTACACATGTAAAACTATTCCAAATCAGCTGGAATTAACTAGTAAACGAAAGATGATGAGATCTTCCCGGACGTTTTTATTATAACATATTCGTTTATCAAAGACTCCAAACGAGTCATTTTTAGATTTTGAGTTTTTACATTACCGAGAAAAAGAAAATAAAAATTATATTTTGAAAAAAATTCTATTAAACTTGTTTTGAAATGCCAAGTTGTTGATTTTTTCCAGCATTTCAAGCATTCGGCCGAAACAATTTTATCCACACGAAACCAAATAAAAATTAAAAAATGTTAAATGCCTATAATAAATATCTAAAAATTGCCAGAAGTTTAGAAAATTTGACCTCGTCTAAAAAGTCTAATGTACTCAGAAAAACGATGTTCATTGTTTAAAGACTAATATACCTGTATAAGTATCCTGTCAAAATGTCAGGTTTTTACGATTATTTTCAACGAGATTGCTACATAAAATCAAAATAACGAAACAGGTTATTGTCTTACATTTTTCCATATTCCCTGGTTTTTTTTTAAGAAAACTATAATACATATCAAAAACAAGGCCTTTTAATACACCGATTAGACATTTTTTTTCTTACGGAAAAATGCCACATTCGAAAATCGGAGCAAGATTTCTAAAAAAAAAAAAAAAGCACACGTCATGGAAAAACCAATATACATCCTAGCTGTGATTAAACCCTCCCTCCCTCCCCCTCAAAAAAATACAATTACTCTTTTTGCTTTCGAGAAATATTACTTTTTGGTTGTGCGTTGAATTACATATGGTATATACTATAGTGGTGTCTAACGAGTTTCAAGGGATGTATTATAAAATATATAAGGTTTAATAATAGGTTATAATAAAATATATATAAGGTACCTATTGTAGTATAGAATTATTGCTCTTGGGCTCGCAACGGAAAGCGTCTACGAAAAATATAATATAATATTGTACTGGAGAAAGCACGCGCGCGATGATGGTTTAGTGCGGCGTGTCATATCTGATTAACGATTGAAATAACATAGGTACATCGATTTAGCGTTCTATATTAATATTATAAAACGAGTTTTTTTTTTTAATATTATACTATAATATATACGCGACGAACCTCATCGACGGCGATAAATCGTCTTTTTATCGTGAGATTTAATGGGTTATAATTGAAATATAAATCACTGTTATGGTACACTGTATATAGGTAGGTAACCAAACCTATACAGTGTATGTTATGCATTTTGCACCGCGGTGGCAATGTTACTCAGATAACATTATAAAAATTAAAATTTTGGGAAAGTAGGATAATATATCTTATATATATATATATATATGATAATTAAATTTAAATACTATATAATGCGACGATAAATTAATGCAAAGTGAAATTTCGGGATAAGCGGTTTTTTTTTAACATAAATTTAAATTAAAAAAGTTATTAATTTGTATTTTCAAAATACTTTCGGTGTTTTTTAACGAATATTATCGTATAGATTTGAACTTAAAACTTTTTCGAAATTAACGCTCTACTTTTTTAAATTTTTTTCCCCCCAAAAGTATATAATTTCTAATGAATCTAGGGGTAGGACGCATAAAGTTATTTAATTTATATCTGTACGCAACCAAAAATCATTGATAACAAAATACGATTCCGAATGAAGTTTTGAAATGTTGTATCATTTTTATGATTTTCGTAAACATACTATCTCAAATCACTTGTAAAAAAACCTACCACATAAGTACATTAGGTACTATTTTTTTTTACTACTAATTATAACTTATAATAAACCTCGTGTAAATTTTCAAACATTTTCGTTTGGTAAAACCCTAAATAAAATTACATAAAACTGAGTATAAACTAAAAAAACTTGAAAAGGGCGAATGCTTACAAATAACTTAAAAATTGTCAGAATGTTTTGAAAATTTTACCTCGTTAAGAAAAATATTCTGTATAAATTTCAGGTCTCTATGATTAAACAAAACAACAAAGTCAAAAGTAATCAAATCGTTACATTCCCATTTTTCTTACATATTTTTTTTAGTTTATTCCATTTATAAGGAAAACCACAAAGAAACTCTGGCCATTTTATTCTGAGCAAAATTTCCGGTAGAAAAACAAAATTAAAATTGAAAACATTTTAAATAACGAAATCGTTACCAATATATCAAATAGATCCAAAATTGTATATAGAAGCTCACTTCTTTTTTGATTAGAATAAGATATCTGGTATAAAAATAGTTTATAGACAACGAAAAAGAAAAGCTCACACCATAGAAAAACTACTATATTCCTCGCTACGCTCAGAATCTAGAACAAATACAAAAATCACATTATTACATTATTATAGAAAAAATAATACGTACCTCGCTTTACATAGAATCTACAAAAGATAATTAAATTAAGCGTTGTTTTTTCAGAGCTTTCAATAATTTCAACGCCATTTTTCACGGTTATATAGTACGTTTTCGATGTTAGTTTAGGTGAGGTTATGCTAATATTACGAAAATCCCGATAAAAATGTAATCACATCTTGATTATTTAAATACAACGATATAATCTTTGTCGAAGACAATGCTAATATTATTATGTTGTTTTTGTTAAATGTTTTTTTTTTTTTTTAATATAATATTCATGGCACGTAACTGCCGAATGAAACGTTGATATTATCGTGTACAATACTCTACGCTTGAAATCGCGTCTTGATACCGGTTATTTTATCATAAAATATACATGCGTTTTTGCGGTAAATAATACAGATTGCCGTACGATATTTAGCCGACAAGTATAAAGTTAAATTTTTTTTAAATTATGTTGTACTGAAACGCTGTTTCGCAAGTCGACCACTACATAAAGTTAGGAAATATAACCTATATAATATTGTACGTTTTCCGGTGTAAATCGACTCGTCGGAGACTATAATATGTCATCAAAACATAATATTATTACTCATTTTAAGTGTCTTCGCCGTTCGGAGACAAGACTCGATAGTTTCGGTTTCAAACAGACCTTTATTGTGGAAAAAAAAAACCGAAAAATTTTAAAAACAATGTTATGGTCAAGTCCGAAAGTAGTAATACATTTACGACTTAATAATATATAAATATATAATACATATTGTATCTATCGTCGAAATATATTATCTTTGCGCGAACGAGTGAGAGGTTAAATATTTATTCGGATTGCGATGACAATCTTCGACCGGCTGCAGAGTTTATACCCTTTATAAATTGGATTCTTTAAATCCGGTGGAGATCTTATCCATTGAAAAAGTTTTAAAACTATCGTCGTCGTTCGCGTTTTTATTGCTCGGGCCGTTGGTTTACTATACAGAGTGATCAATAAAATACTTATTATCTTGGAAAATTTTGACTTGTTCTGAATTTTTTTTTTTGGAAAATTTCACAAACAAGTAGCTCTAAATTTGTTTTTTTTTTCGTTATTTTTGTTACCATTATTTTTGGGCGTAAAACCACTAACCACTTTTGATTTTCAAACAGCTGTATTAAAAATTCCTTAATTTAATATAATTATATTTTGGTATTGACATTTGTAATTCTTAATCCAAATTTTAGTAGTTTAACTAAAAATTCATCAATTTATAGTAATTTTTTTTTTGTTATTTAAAATCAAAATATTGCAGAGTAGTGGTGTCACCCTCGAAAATAACTATAGTTTCATATTTTAGAACTGAACTGCTTGTCAAAAAAAATAATATAAAAATCCAAAAAAATCAATACTTCCGAGATAATGGGTGTCTTATCGAGGAATGATCACTATGTATAATATTTAAAATGCGTCTTATGGACATAATCATACATAATAGTACATAGTCGGGCCTCTGGCCTCTGAGTAAAATATCCGATTAAATGCGGTCGAGTAATATGCGATGTTTACCTGCAAGCAGCATGTTCGACCGGGGCTCATTATAACCCGTTTCCGTTTTGAGTACACTACACCTTTCCCTTTTCCTCCAAATGAGATAACGGGCGATATCCGTTTTCATATTATCATAAGTGCATATAATTTTCACAAACTTCCTTTTTTTATAACGATTTTTTGTTTGTTTTATTAACTATAATTTAAACGATAAAAGTTGCACAATGAATATGTTATGATTACGTTACTATTTTTCTGTAAAGAAATTCTTGACGTTACGTCAAAGTTCAAATAGTACGATAGTCATTAGTAAAATGGAAAACACACTTTTCGTACCACCTCGCATTTATTGTCACATTTCCAAAAAAAATGTTGTTTATCTTTTAACCGGATTCTCGTCATTTCGTGCATGTTAATACTTGATATAATATTGGATAAAAGTTTTTCCGGTTCACGGTTATAAAAAGGTCATTTTGGTGACCTTACAGTTTACCCACAATACGTTAATTCAAACGTACATACATTTTCTCTCACGAACCGTTACCCGTATAATTTCATATTTTCAACAAAACTGTATTATTGTGTTACTTCCGAAATACAACTAAATGTTGAATCTGTCGAGAAAATTGTTGGATACGAAAATATTTTATCTGCGTGCGTTGGATATTGAAACATGATTATATGATTGGGACGATTTTTCCCACATTATAAACAATAGTAGAGACACTTTTACTCTGGCATACATTTAAAACACGGTTAATAGGAACACACAGGACTGATAAGAAATTATATCAGTAAAATTATTACGCTGGATCCAATAGAAATTTAGTTGGCAACAATGAATTTTGGAACCAGTCCAACAATAAAATGTTATCAAACTTTTAAGGTTTTCGTAATGAATAATATATAATAATTTTGATTGAAAATCGCTTAACTTTAGAAGATGCCCTTATAATATCGTTGGCTACAACCAGAGGAACGTATGAACTAGAAACGAATTTGATTTTTAATGCATATTAACCGTTTTTAGCCTAACCTAACCCAACCTATTTTTAAAAAAACAATTTAATAGACATGCGTATTCAATGTATAGTTCAAAAGTTTCATTTAGATGATACGCGTTCAACTGGTTTAACTTTCTAGCCGACGGTATTTCGTCGTGTTTAAAGATGACAATTATAGAGAATAACATATGGTACCTATATATTTGAAAAAAAAACCCATTATGCTCGATCCATTTATTTCGATATGAAGTTTTATTTTTCGCTACGGTATATTATTACATATTTAGGTGATAAATATTATTTAAAAATTACTTTTCTATCGAATTGAGAATGAAAACACAAGTACTTCGGTACTTTCGATATGATTACAACCATTTATTATTTAGGTAGGTATTGCGGGATTAAAATTTGATAATTGTCATAAAATATATCGTCGTGATTATTATGTCACAGATTCCCCAATTCCGAATACATAAACTATTTTTTATGCAAATTCATCTGGCCCGAATTCACCTGGCATTTGTTGCAGTTTTTCTACAATTAATCGACATTGATCTGCTATACAGTAATCAAATACCTAAACACTATACCTATATACATGCCAATTGCCTACTTTTTATCGTGAACCATGTCTCGTTAAAAACTACTCATACTCGTGTTTATTGTATATCTTATTATTGTCCTTGGAAACACTAAATATTATTATACGTTGTTTTATAGTTTTGTTTTCGAACGGACATTTTTAGATTTTATTAACGATATATTATAATACGTAGAGAAAAGTGTTGTTTCTTTTTTTTTTATTCAATTACAACGTATCTAGTATTCGTAATATTTAATCAAAATTTGCCGCGGGTTTCATGATTGAGCCTTTCTTATAATTTGCATAGTTATATTTGTACTCCGTGCTTGCAAATAAATAGAACCATTGATTTAAAATATATAGACATAAATTCAATGATAGAACTAATATTATTATGTCGATCAATGTTGCGTTTTATATATTACAATAATTTATTTGCAAAAAAAAAAAAAATACATCTAGCAGTGTTGTAACAGTCCAGTTATTTATTTTCCTGATGTAAAGGCTGAAGTCTCACTGCCCGGCCTACAAAATGTTATTTCTGTACATTTCTGGAATCAAATTTTGGTTGTATTTATAATTATTTATATAGTATTAAAATTTCGAAATTCTCTGTTTGATGACCTGGAAATCGTACAATCCTAAGTACCAGAAGAAAATATTGGACTGTTGACATATTTTAACGTTATAATCGGTTGTTATTTTCAAAGCGGTTTATAGTTTATTTAAATATTTTAAAAAATAACCACTGTATCCCACTTTCCCATTTAGCAACTATTTTTTAATTATACATAACAGAAATCAAGTTAAACACGAACTATATTTTAGTATAGTTATTATTTGTCTATAGGTTATTTAATTTGTAACGTATACGCGGAATCAGCGTCTTACGCACGTAAAATAACTAAAATATTGTAATCGATTGTGAAAAGTCAATTTAAACGAGAAAAATAATAACATTAATTATCCAGTTTTGAAATATTATACAATTCATTATGATATAATTGACACGAACGTTTGTAATTTAAATTATTTACTTAATTTCAAATACACTTATTAAATCTACAGTTTAATATTTCGTTTTCTCAGTTAATGCGTGAGGCAAAAATAATTATTATTTGTGTTGAACATTATCTTATTTACAATAAATGAGCGGGTACAAATACGGTTTAAAGAGTAGGTATTATAAAACAGTTTTATATTTTATAGGTAAAGAATATAAGGTACTATAAAAAGTATTCATTGCCAAAATGATATACTATGATGAAGATAGAAAAAAAAATAAATAAAAATATATTTTCACTTAGATATTATATCTTTTTTATTATTATTTTCAAAACCGATTTTTCTTAACGGTTTTGTGACTATGCAGAAGCACTAATCGAAAATAACCCGTCTGATCAAATGTTTTTTTAATAATAATACAATATTTTGTATTATGTTCTTTTCCCCAAACAAAATCATTGAAGTTAAGCTTAGTAAAAAAAAAAAATACCAGGTGATTCATTTAAGCGGGTATACTAATTATCTCGGAAACCATTAACTTTTTCTGGAATTTTTTTCTAGAACATTTAAGAAATAAGCTGCTCCACAATTTTATATTTATGCTATTTTTGTCATCCTTATTTTTGAAGGTAAAACAACTATCTACTTTTGATTTTCAAATGGCAACCCAATACCCTTATTAAAAAGTACATAAATAGATTGAGTATTAGTTAAAATAAATTTTAGTGTTGAAATTTTTGATTTCTGTTAAGCCGTTGACGAGATATACCATTTTTAATTTTAGGTTGGAGGAAAGTAGGTGCATTTTTAACACGCTCTCGCCGTACCGTCACACTAATAATACTCCTCTTCTCTCCGCCAACCTAAACTTAAAAGTGGAATATCTCGTCAACGGATCTACGGAGATCAAAAATTTCAACACTAAAATTAATTATAATTAATACTTCATCTATTTATGGAATTTTTAATATAGGTTGCCATTTGAAAATCAAAAGTAGGTAATGTTTTTACCCCCAAAAATAACATGAATATAAAATTGTGTAACAGCTTATTTCTTAAACATTCTAGAAAATAAATTTCGGAAAAAGTTAATGCTTTCTGAAATAATGAGTGTACCTACTTAAATGAATCACCTGGTATATATAAATAATATAATATCCGAGTAGTGTTTTCACAGATTTCTTCCTCTAACTAGGTACTATTTCCGTGTATCATATTTTAGATTTTGAGTGAAATTGATTTACAATGTTGTTTTTTTCTGTGAACAACTTTTCTATCAGCAATGTTACTCCGATTTTCAAGTGTAGCTGTACATTTTTTGAAAGAAAATTTTTTCAAGATGGTACTTTAGTGAGTTAATTTTTTGATTTTCTCAGGGGTTTTCATAATAATTAGATAAGACCGAGAAGAAGCGTAGGAAAAACGGAAAAATTTACGAAATGTGTTATTTTTAAATCGTAAATATTATGGTCTTTCAAAACACGTGTAACTGAACTCTGCTCAGAATCGTTTTTCATTAGCAATTGTTAATCATTACCTACAGATATACATTACATTTTCCATCTATAATAGTCTCCCACCCATCGTGCAAAATATGTTCGTTTTTTTTTATAATTAATATTGTGATGCAATTTAACTAGTTTTGAAAAACATCAATAGTTCTATTGTGTTTGGTTCCATTTGGTTCAGACATAGTATTTAGAAAGCATATCACCAAAATACACTTACTTGACTTACTATAAATTTAACTATGATTTTTGATTTAACAAAACTTAATAATAAAAAATAAATTATTACTTGACACTCGTATTACACACGGTTCGTCAGTGTTAAATGAATCGAAACAGATTCTTAATTTTTTTTTCCTCAAAATTCATATGAATTATAGAGCCTCACTGATTTATTGCAAACGTTGCTTTGTTCTGTGTCCGTGACTGGAAATTGTGCAACAAAATAGTGTCGAAACACAGCAGACGTCGGAGGCTTAAAACCGGTTAAATTTTATTAAGGGGTTCAAAACAGTAACGGTTAGGGCTTTTCTTTGTGCGCAGAAAAACGATTTTGCCTTGAATTATTACATTTTTTTTTTTTAACAGTAGTACCTAACTAGTTCATTTACTGATCAACTGTGTGTACTGTACCTATAATACATATTTAAATTGAATTTATTCTCAATTTTGTATAGAATCATGTTCAGAATAACATTAATCAATTTCAACAACAATAATTAAATTATTTTAAAAATGCATTGCATGTGATGGTATAGTTGTTATCTTGTTAAGAATTATTATTTTGCATTGTTGTATAGAACATTTTGTTTGTTTGTATATATATGTGTGTCTGTAGTAAATGTTTGTACTTACCATCACCCCCGTTATAAACAAAACATAAATAGTTTTTTTTTTTTTTTTAAATTGACTGTTCTATATGGTTCTATTGTCTTACTTCTCCAACCACCCGTGATCCGTGATTAACCCACTCATTTTGTTTAGACACAGGCCTAAAAAAAAAAAAAAAAATACCACAGTTATTTTGTATACTTTTTTTTATTCTAATGGAAAATAATTTACTAAATTAATTTTATTTATTTTAAAATGCTAACTTGTACAAGTAGTACGGTTTTTTTTAAAAAAAAATATCGTACTACAGTTAATTTTCTGCCAATGGATATTACATATTCACGCATTTCCACGTATTTATTATTCATTAGTCATTATTATCGTTCGCGATAATACCAAACGGCTAAAAAAAAAAAACAAACAAAACAAACAAAACATCAAAACTTTTATAAAATGCATTGTAATTTACTTAATTGTGTGTTACTATAGTATTATTTTTTTGCTGGCAATGTTATCTTGATAATATTTCGAAGTGTGTAAAATGTAAAAACCTATTTACAATACTGTTACCATATTATTTTTTATTCGTATTAATAAATTTTCAATTTTCGTCATTTAATATACAGAATAAATCAATTTTTAAAAGCAGATAAGGACGTTCAGAAGGTGTTCGTATACATGTTAAAATATATAATTAATATACGGTGGCGTAGTCAAAAGTCTAGCAGGGGAGGGAAAACTAGACAAACACCTGCGTATACATAAGTTTAACTATCTTATAATATATTAATTTATAAAATAAATAAATAAGTCAAATAGTTAAAAATAAATTAAGTAGATATTATTCTCATCAGTCTTGTAGTTGCATTCTCCTTGCAAAATATGTTTTTAAAACTTACATTATTTCCTCTACTGTTACGTTTTCATCATTATTTATAATTTTAACAACCAAGTCATCATTAATCAACCCAACAGCTTAACTTCTGATATTGTTGACCAAAGGTAGTTTTTGATTCTTTTAAAAACAGAAAACGTACGTTCAGAAGTTTCCAAATTAATAACTGGTATTGTGAATAACAACTGTAAATGGATTTTTAATTTTCGGTAAAAGGTCTTTGCAGTATTGCATTGCTTCTAATACAGTTTGTGGTAGAATTTTTTGTGTCATTCTATTGATTTGTATACATTATATGTAATTGGTGTAATAGTTCACCACTTGAGCTATATAATATATGGCATGATGTAAATCATTTTGGTGTGTATAAATACGGACTAACAGAAGACCCTTCGAACTCCTTAAATACGCCACTTTAAATGTATACCTATATAGACTTAATAAAGTCCACAACCATCAGACGACATTAATAATATAACAAAAACCTTTCGGTATTATGGATTTTTTCGTTTTCCGTACATTAAACCTTTGTTTACCTGCCTATGTACACGCGAGAACTAGTAAATTATTCGTTGACCACCAACCAATTTAGTATTTTATAATATTATCCAATAATATATTTTCGGTAGGTAGTCTAAAACGTATATCACGTGCGCACGTTGTATTATAAAATATTCGTCACATTTTTTATTACAAACGACGAATTAATTTATTTTTTTTATTAGGATGCCGAACGAATAATATCGACCTACGCGTTTTTTACTATACGAGTGTACCACGGTCATGTCTACATGGTATAATAGGTGCTCGTACTTACTTTTCGTTATTTCGTTTTTGGTTTCGCGTAAAATCCGTTTATTTTGCGCGTATACGCGATTAGACTGTGCGCGTTTTGGACTCGTGCCATCCCCCCTGACCCGATCATATAAAATACTGTTCTCGTAAACACATAACATCATCGTGTCACGAAAAAAACGTTAATAAAAAAAAATGCCCTTTGAACGTTTCAAATGTCACAAGTGTAATGCACGTATCTGCCACTATACACGATAATAATATAATTATTAATTTTTGTCGAAAGTTCATCGTCAGTATAAACGAGTCTGACACGCTAATAAACCTCTCGTCAAATTGTCCTGCGTTTTCGCTCGCTATCTGCAGCTGTCGCAGTCGTCGCCCGGTGAATTTTCTGTAATAATTTAATACAACACTAATAATAATTTATTATAATAACCTTGTATTTTATTCGGTCGTGTGCAGTGATCGTTATTATTATGGTGTTATCGACGACAAATTTAATGTATAATAAGTTATTAATAGAACAGTTGTCAGCTGTCCTCAAGCTCGTGCAATGGTAAGAATATAACCGTATATTATTTTAATATAATTATGGTAATGTTTATTTACTTTTTTTTTATGTATTTCCGGAAACGCACCGAATGAGTAATCTTGTTGACGGATTGGTAGGTGGTACACTTGACTTGAATCAGGCGGTGTTGCCAAAATGACACATGCAATTTCATGAGACGTTAAAAATTATTATAACAGCAGACACAATGAAATGTATTTCGTGATATCGTTTGCGTGAATAGGTACTTATATATAGGTATCTACTATCTATACTAGATAGGTATCTAGTTCCTACAAAGATCTCAGACAAAATGATTTTGATTTTGTAAATCGATTTATTTGACATTTTTTTCAACTCTGCTGCTCTGGGTATCTACAAGACATTTTTCAAGTAGGTTTTTTGTATAATAATGGACACACAGTTAAGTCTTTTGGACACTTAGTAAAGTAACATTTTGATTAGATTATTATGTGTCCATTAGAAAACACATGATGAATTATTGAATTAGTAGATTTTATGACGAAATATTGCATTGAATACAAAAATACTCTCACTGTGGGGATGGGGTATTTCTGCAAAGTCCAAAAGCTAAGAGTTAAGTGAATTAAGGTTTAATTTATCTGCTCGTGTGGACCTTTTTTTAAGAGTGAACAAATGGACACGCTGTGGGTTCACTAAAAAATGTCTGGATATCTGTGTGCAAAATGTGAATTATAAATTGAAATTTGACTTAAAACTCATTTACTAGTATAGTATGTCGTAAAACCATAAACGCAAGTTTAACTAGTCGGTTGCATTGCGGGTTTCTTCATATTTGTTAATACGTTCGATCGTTCGTATGTGTAATCATCTGGATAATATTATCATTATCCATCCATTCGAATAATACTTATTATTATTCCGTGCGAGTGCATTGATTTGCACCAATGTAATTGAATTTATTATTCCGTTTACTATATTATTGTGTCGACACTATATATATCAACTTCGTAAATAAGGAAGTGTATCAGACTTGTATTTGACGCACGCGTGTACGCGAGAAATTATGAAAATAATATTGCACGACCTTCGTACGAGCGACCGAAACGATAAATGAAAATGACATGAATAAATACCTTTTTCAAGTCTAAATGTCAAAAACGATTTGGCTTCATAAAAACTGCATAAAAATGTACCAACTATTTCTATGACCAAGTCTGGATAATATGTATATGTGAACATTGACTATTTACAATATTGCAATACTTCGCTTAGTTGCAATAAATCAGTATAATATCGGTTGAATAATAAAGGTATCAATTTCAATTTTGAACAAAAAATAAACCAAACAAATTGAAGTTTATTCGAAAATCGATGAAAAATGCACGAGTTCTAGGAAATGGTTTATGAAAATAAAACCGAAGAATCTCCTTAAATCTTTTATGGAAAGTTGTCTGAATGTTGTCCGGCAGTGTCTAAAATGTTGAGAAACACATAAGTATTTCAATAATAATTAAATAAGTAATATTTCAATATTGTTCGAACCGCAGGAAATTGTGATTTCTACGTTGTATCTATAAAATATATCGGTAATGTAATATCTATATGATTTTAATAGAATTCAATATTATTATTTTTATTAATATTTAGAAAAATAATTGGATATATCACGCAAGGGTCGAAAGTTTACGTTTCGTTTCTCGGTTATATTCCTAGGATGTCACCATCCTTGTGCGTAAGAAATTTTATGAAAAATACGTATCAATAAGAAAATATAGAAATTCTCATTAATTTACAAGTAGTCCTGTAGTCACATTATCACGATGTGTGTTTAATTGTATAATCGTGAAATTCAATAAAAATATAAAAAAAAAAAAAAAAAACACGTTCACTCATCTCTAATTTTTACCGCGTTTTACGTTAAATTGCAGATCAGACGGTTTTTCGCGTTCCAAAACGCCCGTACTAACTTTTTCTCGAATGGTATACGGCCGGTACTTGAATGTGTGGACGAACGCAATGGAAGCGTCTCTAATATTTTTCATTATTATTATTATGATTTTTTTTTTTTATCGTTCCCTTACTGATTATGAATACTATTAGAACAAGGGGACGGTACGTCTCTTTTTACATATAACGATATGTTAAAAAAATAAACGCGTGTTATCAGCTTAATTACCGTATATTAAACTTTTATTTTAAATAATATATAATAGTATTAACGGTATAATGTACACGAACATAATATTATGCGTGATAAATAACCCCGTGGGTTAGGTTGATTTCGATAAATACAAGGTACGTTAGTTTATTTTTATTTTTTAAGTCTCGTACTTGCGGTCCAAGGGCGTTATTTCACATTTTTTCACGGGATGCAAAAAGAATATTTGAAAATTTAACAGCAGAACCGTTCGCTTTGATCGCGTACCACTCGAAGGACAAAATTAATACATTTTCGTATACAATTCAATTTTTCAATTGCAACATATTGATTATTGATAATATCTACAGTATTCACGAATGTATTTCAATATATCTTAGTATAAGTATTATAAATGAACACTAATGAATTGGGTATGAAGAAAGATATAGGTACTCAAGTAACTATAATTATTTGACCTGACTTATTCACAAACATAAATTGTTCACCATTATTTAATTTTATGTTCGATTCCTTGACCTTGTTAATAGCATCTAAAAGTGACACAGGCACTTGGGGTAGAAGTTTTTGTCTTTCACGATACATAGACTGTCTCACAGCAACAATATTATCTGCACTCACTGTTGACATGCATAATTCTTACCTCATAATTTTCAATAGTTTTTCATATAATTGTAACTCTGATGTACGTTTAACGGCATATTAAATTTCTTTTAACTCTGTATGAGTTTCTTTATTTTCATGATTAGGTTCACACAGGCACTGTCGCGGTCGCTCTCTTTTTATATTTTAATTTCGAGCCCCGGTGGTTAGGAGGCGTATATAATTAGCATATATTGACGACGAAAAAAAACCGTATTTTTCTGCGATAATAATATCGCAAAATATCGTACACGATATAATATTGCGCATATTCACGCAGTATGTCGCGCGGAGTGTTTAATTGTCAACTTCCGCGCACCCGTTCCAATTAATTCGTCTGCGCGCGGTACCCGCGCCCCGCCGCGTTCGTTTTCGTTCCATTATTGGCCGTGTACACTGACGCGACGCTTAATAATATCAATTTATTATCATAACGTAACCGTTATATAACACTCACCGCAAAGAAAAATGCTCGTTTTATTATAATATAATTAGAGGAATCGGAACTTATTGCGCTTAAAATCCACAAAAAACCGCTTAAAAAACATCAAAAAGTACTGAAAAAGCACTTGAAAAATATTTGAAAAAGCAAAAACGGCAGAAGTGTTTAAATGTCCTGGGGGACATTAGAGGGGGGCTCTAACGGCTTTAACTTATTAAACACAATTTCCTAACGTTACACTAATTATTAATCCAAAGTTATTTTTTTTCTATAATACGTATACAATTTTACTTCAACTTAATTAAAATTAATTAACTTTTTATTAATCATTCGTGTCATTTATTATATTTAATAATTTAGAATCGTTAGACAAGAGACCGTGTTTAAACCTTTCTACTATTTGGTCTATAATAATATTTACTCGAAGTGCTTTTTTTTAAAATGCGTTTTTAAGTATTTTTTTGCGAATTTTAAGTGCAATAAGTCCCGTGCCCTAATTATAATATACGCGCGTACGTATCAGACGAGAACACGATCGTCGCGGTTGTCTAGTCGGATTTTTACATTTTGTTCGAGTTTTGTATTCATTCCGATCCATACGCGTGCACGTCGCGTCGGATAAAAATCCATTTATTCCGTATATAATGCGGAACGCGCAGAGAACGTCGCCGTTTTAACATCGTATACCTACTTGTTAAAACGATAATTTTTTTCCACATATATTAGAAAACTTTGATAGCCTATACCCGCGTATAACGCATTATTGTTATTATTACTATCTAATAGGTATAGGTATAAGTAATATTATGTAGGTCGAATACCTAAGCACCTATTGTTTTTTGTTTTTATCGGTTATAATATTACAATGACCGTCATGTTTATTACACAAAGGTGTAGAAGAGTGTTCGTTTTATCCAAAAATCAATTAAAACGGTATAGTGTTATTATTATGTATGGTATACGCGTACAATAAGCAGACGATACTGTTGTTCCGTATTCAAAGGGGTGGTATTAGCTATATTACACCTCTCCACCATAAAGGGGAGTGACTGCGTGTAGGGCGTGACACACACCCCCGTGAACGTGGGAAATTAACCATCGAGCCGACAATTAAACGATAATTCGTTTACAAAATTAATCATTTTTTGGTTTTTCGTTAGGTATTTTATTACACGATTACCGTTATGTTATCGTCAAATTTCAAACTCATCGATGGAAAAAAATAATTGGCAAACATTTTAAAATCATTTTTCGAAGTCTGTGAATTTGGTATTTGAAGTAGGTAGTTTTTAATCGCACGTCACTATTGATTTTTTACGAACGCCGGCTGTGATACTAAAAACGAATCTGAAACTTTATTAAAATAAATTAAAGTTATAGTTTTATTTGATGCATTTTTTTAATTATAAAATAAAGATAAAACATAACATATATTTAATAGAAAACTATTAGTTAGCCATGTGCATACATTTTAAACATTGACATACAATTTTTCCCGAGAAAAAAATGTTCATAAAAATTTACATCTTAATTAATACAAAATTAACACACGCCACAAAAAAAGAAAAGGCCGTAGTAATATCGAAAAACAAAAAATTTAAACAACGTTACATTGTGCAGTACTTGGAAAGCGAGCATTAAATGGAATAGCAAAACATGAAACGGCAATACGGTAAAACCTCGATTATCCGAATCTCCGTTACACGAATCCTCTGTTATCCGAACGTTAAAACTCGTCGAAGCACTCGTACACCCGCGGCCGGCCATCAATTTTAAAATTATCGCAATTTATTATTAATACATACATATAAACCATACATATATGCATATAGACATACATGTATGTACGTCTGTTAATAGATAATCGAGACGCGATGTGTTTATCTAAACCTATCAAACGTCAATGCGCGTTGAAGCGCTCGTAATATTATTAACATATTATTATGTTCCTATGTACTTTATGGTTATTTATTTCTGAATGCATAATGTATTCTAAATACATATAATAAATATGTAATAGATAATAATATATAATTTATAATTGTATGTTTAAAAAAAAATTGTTATTTTAAACAATTTCCAGTATCCGAACTAGGTGCGGTCCCAATCAGTTCGGATAATCGAGGTTCTACTGAATTTGGAATAGTGAAGATTAAAATAAAAAAAAGAACTAGAACAGAAAGATCTGGAACAACTCTTGTTTTTTTTACATTTATTATTATTATTATTATTATTTTATGACAAAAAATGAGTCGTTTCAAATTTTGACTTTTCGTTCCTAAGTTAGCCTTGTCAAAAACAGACGTTACACGTTTTGTCAATCCAGATAATGTTATGCGTTCTTATTTGATAGTGGAAGTTTATTTTTGTTTTCAACATTATTTTAAGACTAGATCGTGTGCTTCTCGTTTTTGAAAAACGATTATACTAAAACAATTTTACGGGCGTGTTCTGCGCATTATTATATTCTAAAATTAGACAAAATTAGTTTTTCTCTATTACCATATTTATTGTTTTCCGGGTTTTGACGCAAAACGTCGGCAAAACGGATTCGTCTGTTAAAGAGTTAGGACGTGCTTTAACCGATTGATCCGAGACACGCGACTGTCATGGATAATAAATAATAATATGCTGATCATTAGGAAAGCCATAATTTACAATATTATTTTATCACTGTTATAATATCGGCTTTATTATTTTAATTCTGAGTGTATTAGTGAAGAAACTATTCGTTTTACTATAAGATTTGTTGTTTTTTCATTTATGGAGAACACTTTTTTTGGTTACTAAAAATGTTAGAAATTGTTCACACCTTAAACTTAAAAGATGATGTAATGGCATTGATTGCCGCTCAGTGTAAATCACTGACTCTGCAAAAATTAACTTCCCTAATATTTAACCTTCCCTTACCCTGGTAAAATTTTCTCCCTTCATAAACTATCAGAGGGTAAAATTTCACTGGAGAAATTTGACCGAGAAGAGTTGTTAAAATTAGTAATATTTGTCCAAAGAGATAAAATATCATTATAAAAGTTAATAATCACTGGCACACCGGAGTGATACTTTATTTGAAAAAATTCCCTAGTTACCAATATTTTTTTTAAATTATGAAAAGAAAAACTGTAAAAACAAAATTGACGATACATATGTCATATTTTTGTAAATTTCCAGATTATCTTAGCCATAAGAGGATATAAACACGACTGTTTAATTTTACCAAAAATATACCGTAATTCGTTTAGAATCGTTTTTTGAATGCAATGATTTATGGTTATTTTCAGAATATAAATTGTAAATTACCCTGTGTTCTATAAGTGATAGACGTCTCACCCGCACAACAGTAGCCTATTATAGGTACTCATGGTGCGAGAACGTTATCCCAGTGGAAAATTGTATTTCGATCCTACGTATTAGTATAATTAATTAAAAATTGTGCTAATGAAAAAACAAAAATCTATTAATAGGTATCCGACGATTCGGATACCTAGTTCTCGTTTTAATTTGTTTTTGAGCGTGTACAGGAATCGATTACGAGAAAATGTCATCGCTGCAGGATAAAGGTTATAGAGGTTATTTTTTAACAGTTACGTTTTTTTTTTTTTTTTACACTGTATTGTCGCCGTGTGTGCAATACGAGTTGTACCGTCGTTGTAATATCGATATTCGATACATTAAAAAAAACAAAAACAAAAAAACCACTCACCGTCGTCAAGTAAAAGGTTAGGTTAGGTACCGGTGTCGTTAACGCGATAAAAGTGGTTTTTTTTTTTCTACATGTATATACAAAAATTATTTAGTGCGATGTACTAAAAAACGGGGAATTTTTCCATATTCGCGAAACGCGCGGTTAATACAGACGGTTTTAGTAGATACTTGCAGCGATACTTAACTATTAAAAAAAAAAAAGGCCTTGTCGCCTTAAAGAGTTTTCCTCATATACTACATAATATTATATAATACGAAAAACTTGCAACGACAGAATTTCATTCGGCGGCATGCAGTGGCGCCAGTACCCGTCTCGACTTTTATGTATTATGCGACCATCACTGATATACGAGTATAAAGAGATGATGCTCGTTAAAAAGTAACACATAAAAGAAACACGCATCATCCCCGATCGTTATTTTTATTTTACGATTGCAGCCACATAAAACAAGATGAAAGTCGTTCCTGTAATATTCCCTAAAATGTAATATTATAGTCGGTCAGTGGCTTAGCAGAGAGAAGGAGGAGCGTGGGGTCCGCGACCATCGTATTTATTGAATATTCAAAAATATTTTTATCATAATTTCGTATTTTACTCTAGTATTTTTAAGCTGTACGTTTTTAGATTCTGAGCGTACGAGGAATGTATATTGTATTTTACTATGTACTTGGGTTTTTTTTTTGTCATTTTTTTGATATTTTTATACCGGAAAACTTCCTATAATCGAAAACCCTACAAGAGAACTTTTTTATTATACATTTTGTTAAATTGGTGTGACGAGATTCCGAGCGTAGCGAGGGAGCTATTGGTTTTAAAATGCTGTTTTTTCTTCTTCTTTTTCTTTGTTCTAGTCTGTGGACACGTTTTTTCCTAGTAAACTTACTCTGATTTTTTCGTTTAACAACTTTTCAGAAAGCTTAAGTTGTTTAGATAATACTTTGAAGAGGACAAGTTTCTTACGGTATTTCGCCATAACTTTTGAGCCACTTTTGAGCATTTAAGGAATTTTAATTTTTGGGAGTTTTTCTTCTGTAATTCGATTATAAGTAGACGTAGAGACTTGAAACTTTGTAATAATACTTATATTGGACTTACCTAGACGTAGTGAAATTTCCAAAATCATCGGACGCGTTGTAAAATCAAATTAAAACGAAAATCGCAAAAAAAAATTATGGCACTTCAAATTATATATTACCGCTCTGCACTCGGAATCGTCTTTCGTCAAGCAATAGTGTATCGTTGCTTACAGATATAAATTAAATAACTTATATATCCTACCTTCCCAACTTCTCACCAACAACAATGGCCGCTCCCATCCCCAGTATCAGTTCTTTTTTTAATTTCCTCGTATGAAGTTATCTTCATAGTTGTGTGAAAAATCTCGGAAAAACGAGAATATTTATTCACAATATTATCTATTTTTGTTTTTTCGTTGTAATTGAGTTAGAAAAAATTCATAGGAACCTGACATTTCCACTGAATACTTGTATAATATAAGTGATGGAATTTTCAAAATATTCTAGCCGTTTTGAGCTATTTATAGTTATTTGAAATTTTCTAGTTTTTTTTTTAGTTTTATTTGGTTGTAAGTAGATAACATTTTTTTGGCTTTTTAAAAATTCTTGAAAATTTGATACAAGGTTCATAATGAGATGGTTCTTATGGCACTACAAAAATATTGAAAATACGTAACTACAGTGTTTTTTTTTTATAATGGTTTATCGAGTTCAAATTTTTGTGAGAATCATAAAATATCACGAAATTTCGCGTATTAATTTACGATTATTTGAGGTAAAACTTTTTTTGAGTCTATAAATTCGAGGCAAAAAAAAAGTACGATTTTCAGTTCATAAAGGTTTTGGAAACATGATTAACTGACTTTCGTTCAGAACGTTTTTCGTTAATGATATTTTATTAGCGTTGCGTACAAATATAAATTAAGTTATCCTGTATACACATAGCTTCAATGTTCTCAAATGCTCACCCACAACTGTGGCCTATCCATGAGCAGTATATCTTTTACAAGGAGCCTAGCTAGTGTACGAAATGCCCGCAGTTTTATTTTATTGAAAAATCTTGCATATACCTTCACTGTACTCGACTCATTATTTATTTTACGATGTGTTTTTCAGAACTCGAAGAGACCGCCATCGCTGAAGAACCGCCAACTTGCGAGTCTCCCGAACCGATGTCCTGTTATCTGCACCACGATCCCGACCACCCGATGTCGTCGTTTTCGGTCATCAATAAGATGCGAGTCAACATCCAAGTAAGGTTTTTTACTATGGTCAATTGTACAATTATTATGTTTACTTGTTTCTCATGACGAATGTCTCTCAGCTGTGTGATGTTTCTCTCCGGGTTGGTAACAGCGTGACGAAAGCCCACAGATTAGTATTGGCCTCGTCTAGTCCCTATTTTTACGCAATGTTCAACGGTTAGTATTGATAACTTTTTTTTTTTCTTAATATTTTTACGGTTTTTTTTATGTATAGATGATATGGCTGAGAAATTACAATCTGAAGTCGAATTACACGACGTGGATTTGAGCGCCTTGCAATTATTAATCGAATATTCGTACACTGGTCAAGTTCACATAACCGACGAAAACGTTCAGGTATTTGAATGTATTTGAATTCTCCTGATTTATTAAAAATGTATCTAAAATAATATTTATATCGATATAATAAGAAAATTCGCTAAAACTTGGTACACAGTAACTGCAATTAACAACCTCCCCAAAGTACCAACTATATATAGTAACAACTCGTGTGATTCATTTATACCGTATAAAACACTCATTGTTTTGAAAACTATTGAATTTTTCTTTTGACAATTTAAGTAACAAGCAACTCTAAGTTTTACTCTTCGATTGTTTTGACATAAGAAAAAGAAATACATTTTGAAAAAAAAAAGCACAATTTATAGTAAAGTCATTGATTTTAGAATACAATTCTCGCTTCGATTGGAATCTAAAGGTATTTTTCGTTCAGAACTGCAATTTATTTGTGCTGCACAAATTGTGACCGATTTAAACAAGTACTTACGCTACCGCCGCAAAATTAGTTTGTCAAAGACAAATTTATCGTGGGAATATTTTCGCGTCTGTTTTCGTTGTTTTGCGATAGTTTTATTGAACGTGCGTGTGCACGTTCCGCGTCAGGAGAAAAAAAATCTAAAACTATATCATATACTTACAACTATATGTATATTTTCGAAAAATCAATATCCCAAAAATGAAATTTCCACGTGATACGTATTATACGTATAACTCGTCGCCAACGTCGTATCTCTGACGTCAATAAATAAACGCGAAATTATTCATCACTCGCAATAATGTCTATAGGTATACGACTCGACTCGAATTGCTAACGAAATTATTTTATACAAACAAAATAATAGGATTTTATTCTCTACTCGCTGCGAGTCCCATACGTTTTCGAAAACAAAAGGGACGAAATAATATTATATTATAAAAGATGAAAAAAATAACATAAACAAGGGATCACACACATAATACGTGCATACATATCTGAATTTTCCCTTATATGCTTTAGTGAGGAGCACGGAAGACGTACAAAATGTACATTTATTTATTATATTACGTTTTGGCGAACGGGTCGTGCGGGGAGATTATGGGCTTGGAAAAGAAGAGAGACGGCACACATAAAGAAAACCGTCAAGTTTATAACATGATGTATAGGTGTATAATATCGTGGAACGTAACACGCACGTGTACGGCACGTAGTCTAACCTAACTTCTATTCCTCTCTATCTAATCGAATCATCCATCTCCAGAGAGGCCTACGGGCGAGTTTTCTCTTTCTCCGCCGAAAACAATAATTTTACCTATCCACGTATATAATATCGTACATTTCGCTCGGCCGACCGCATTTTTCCATAACGATTGCATTCGCACGAAAAAAATTACACTGCAGCCAACAAATATAGTGATAGATCGGATCCGGGCTGCAAGATATTATCGGCCATCAATCGAGTTTCGGAGGAATACGCTATACGGCCGGCCGTACGTCCTTTTTAAAATTGATAATACCCGATAATAACAATAATCAGACGCAGCTCGCGTGATGCACGTATACATTAAAACGCCCGATTCGTTATTTTTCGTCCGTCAGACGAAACCATATTTTCAGAAATCCCGTGAATCGGAGAAAACGATTTGATCGGTCGGTTCAAAATCGTCCGGAAAAATGTAAATTGCATACTAATCAAATTGCAGCACATGCCTAACGAATGTACTGGTACGGAAAAATATAAGTGAATCCGATTTCGGGATTCTTCGAGAAAATAAATCCAACCGCTTTTCAATATTGATAGAAACGTATTTTCAAAAAGTATATTTAACGAAAAATTAACCGAACGAATTCGCAGCCGACAATATCGCAAAAAGAAACGTTACAATTTCGATAATTAGGTGTTAGTTGTTTATTTTCGTTTGCGGCTATTGCGTTCGAATCGCTTAAACGCCATCCCTTATCGAGCTATCTGGCGGGCGGCGGGTTTTTTTTTTTTTTAATTGTTGACATTATTTGACGTTTATTATTTTATAGGTACACGGTGTATAGATATAGATATACGCGCGGTATTTTATTTTATGAACTTTTGTTTGCTCTTCGCGTATACACTGCTGCAATAACCTGTGCGGCCATATAGTCTCCCTCTACCCGCCTTTATGTATACTCGCCCACAAACCTGCGTGTATAAACTAACAGGGTCGAAAACGTTACGTGCTCAAGTTCCGCCGTACAACACACGCACACAACACCGCAGAGTAGTCGTAATAATAACACGTTCAAGGACCGTCGGGGTCGAAACGAAACAAATTTCCCCGACAACTCGATTTTTATCACGACATCGTCACGATAACCATTTTCATTCCACAGGTACTGTTGCCCGCGTCGTCTTTGCTCCAGATAAATTCCGTCCGGGACGCTTGCTGCTTGTTCCTGATGAAACAGTTACATGCGACCAATTGCCTGGGAATCAGACAGTTTGCCGGTAAGTGATGCGCGTCTTCTTTCGCGTCGAATAATAATAATAATCGAAAACGCCTGCTGCAGATATCGCGCGAGATCGTAAGATCGCGAAAGATAACTTAAATAAGTTATATTAACACATCTAATATAATTTAATATACCGATTGAGAATCTTTCTCGACGTAGAAAACCTAAGAGAGAAAAGGGAAAATATGATGTTTGATGTTAGAATCGGTGGCGGATCAATGACATAAAAACGGAGAGGGGGGACGCTTTGGAATTTGCGTTTTTGACATGCTCAATGTTGAATCGTGCTAAGAGTATATTGGAGAATGAATGGAGAGAGGGACGATCGCTCCTATCGCCCCCCCTGGATCCGTCATTGATCAGAATAGATTGTTTTAAACAACCTTTTGGTCAAAAATTACTAGATTATTTATGTTCCAAAGTTTTTAATTTAATGTCTTTACATATAAAAAAAAAAAAAATATTTGATTGGGAATTTATATAAACTACATGCATAAAAAAATAATTTCAGTTATGGTATTCACAGTACTATATAGAATAAGGAATTACTCCTAAATAAAATAAAGTTCAATTGAATTCAAAATATTTTCTGTCAGTCTTTTTTAAAAGTATATTGTATATGTTTAGTGTTCATATGCTATTTATAACTCTCTACCACCAATACAAACATTATGTGCTTAAAGGAGATAGACATTTTTATTTTATTGAATACTTTTAAATCTTATTAAACTATATATTTTTATTCTTGTGCAATAATAGAAAGATTTTCTAAAAAAAAATTATTTTTACGATATTGTAAAAAGACTGAAATCAAAAAAAAAACTCATTGACGACTTCCGTGTCTAACTGCACGTTTTATAGAAATTTACACAGAGATTTTCTATTCGTGTAATAAAGGTAAAAATTCTAAAAATGGATTTGGAAATCGGCCTGGTCATTTTTTCGACGTATTTATAAAACTTTTACGGTTTTTAAATATTAAATTTCGTTTTATTAATATTTGATACATAGCCGAAAAATCAATAACTCGCCGGCATTTTCTGTTCCGTGCCTATATTTATTATAGACGACCGACGACCTAAATAGGTCCCTAAAAAGGTCGGCAATAAAATTATTATCGAATATTATTTTACCGGCCGATCGCGTTCGGTTTTATCGTCCGCTTTTCATTTCAAAGCCCGGTCACTCGTTTTCATTAGAAAACTATGTAATATTTACTTTACAGTCACAGTTCACGCTACGTACGACCCCGTGGGCGCGTCGCTAAACAGTATTTTCCCCGGGGCTGCCCATTAAGCCCAATAAACATAGTATTATTTAATAATCTGTTGTAAGGTCATCTAAACGATTCGTCATAAATTTATAACCGAAATTTCAGCCGATAAAAAAAATCTTATAACATTCAATTGATTTTAATTTTTAAAATACGAAATCAGTTGCGTAACAAGGGGGAGGGTGATTTTGGTGTTCAAACACACACTTTTGAATATATTTATGCCAACAATTATAATTTTTTCTATATGCAGTTATGTATCAAATTTCTATTCTAGAAGATATAGTATTGTGTAATGCATAGATAATTAATTAAGTATATGTTATATACGCACAATAAAGTTACAAAATCCTAGCTATGCCACCGTACGAAATAATATTATTTAAAACGTTTTATTGGGCCTGATTTTAGGATTCGATTAGTGCAGTACTATAGAAATAAAATAATTAAAATCTCCCCTGCCATTACGTAGCCCTGGGCAAGTGCCAATTTCGCTTATACATTAATCCTGGCCCGTAACGTCCAAATTTTTTCGGTGCAGTTCTCTGAAAATGGATTGGCTGCTATAATAGCCAAAATAGGACGAACTTACAAACCAGGAGATGTAAATTAATTCCGATTGCATACATATAGAGACAGCCGCGTCAGGATTTAAATGCATTTTTTTTTATTTTTATATTCCAAAATTATGTTTTCCGAGTTCACAATAATTCGACATAACCTAACCTAATATTATAATATTATGTACTTGCAGATACTTCAAAAGTGAAACTTTTTATTTCGCATTTTTGCCGTTTTTCCATTTTAAGTCGGTTTTCAGTAACATTGTTGCGGTTGTAAAGTATTTTTTTTTAATAGTAGGTTTTATTAAATATTTCCTAAGTCCCATATATTATTTTTAGCAAATTTAACCGTAGAAATTATTTTTTGTTGCGCGATCATATTATAATTAAAAGAAATAATATGATGCGGTTACAACTTTAAGATCAAATATTTTTTGATCGGTTCCCCGCGGTTTTTTATTAATTATAAAAGTATTGTCTGCCTGAATTAATATTATTATGACTAAATAACCCGAATGGGACTGGATTAACCATTAAGCACTATAGACATTGCCCGGAGCACCAAACTGTTCAAAGACACCAAATATTTCTGTCCACTATCTCAATCAAAGCATACATTTTTTTTTAAACATTTGTTTATGAATGTTTGGAAGATTATCTAACTATAGAGCATTGTAGATAATACGTTTTTAAACTTTAAATTTTTTTTTGGAATATCCGAGTATTCCATTTACAAAGTTGATGTAACTTGAAATATAGAAAAGAAACGTATGATTTTAATTTGTATTTAATTTTTTGTACGAATCAACGATATTACATTTTTTTCGTCACATAAGAAAAAAAGGAAAAACGGGAGTAGATTTTCCATGAAAATTTAACGTACTGGGATGCCTATACAAAGCATTGCCTTTATGCGCATTTTCCTCGAACTCTGTACACGAATACGTGTTTTTTACCATACAATTATAATAATAATATGACTAAATAAACAGACACATCAGTAAAAATACTTGTTTTCTCAATTACTGCGGATGTGCCTCGAACTTGGAACAAACGGTACAACAACAACTATTTTATTATTGAATTTTGAATTTTTTTACAAGTTATGTATTTTATTTTATTATTCTAGGCAATAACCACGATTAAAAATAAAAACGACTTTAATGAAATCGTTTGTTTTTCCCATGGTTTATCACGCCTCATTTTATGTGCTGCAAAACAATTTTGATTTCATACGTGTTTATTTATAAATGAAGACTTTATTATTATGATACGTTTTCCGTTTCAGAGACACACTCATGCAACGAGTTGAGGAATCGTTCGCATCGGTATGCACTGCAGAACTTTGAGGAGGTGATGAAGACCGAAGAATTTCTTTTTCTTACTTACTCCGAGGTATATATAATATTAACATACTATTATAATTATAGAGTACGGATTTTGAAGGCGTTTGTTTTTTCCGAATTGGTCCGATATGAAGCTCATTCTATACAAAATTTGTTTCATACTATTTATTGGATTAATATTCAAAATTTGTCATTCGCTTTTTAAGATTTTTTTTTACTACCATATTGTGGTTTTTTTAAAAATACTTTTTTCATTATTAATGTTTGAGTTTTATATCAACGGGCACGGGTCAAATAGGTTTTATCTCGTAATATTAACAGTACGATAAACCTATATTTTTTTTTTTTTATATTTCTTATTGGGGATTTTTTTTTTTTTAGTAATACTTCGAAATCCGTTCACTAAAAAATAATATAGAAATGCCGCTGTTGCTCTGAAATATACTTTATACGTGTATATTAAATAACGGTAGAAAAAGAAAGAAAGAAAAAAACAACGAAAAAACTGAAAGTCCATTAGGGGTGGGACAGGGGAGAAGGGAGGGGAGTCGTGCAAGAGGTCGTCGACGCGGCGGCGGTCTCTAAATGTATAGAACGGTAACGTCACGGGCGGTCGTTCCAGACAGACGGGCCGGCGCGACGCGGTGACCGAAACTTTCCCTGTCGGCGACGGGTCGGGGGAGGGGGAGTTTACGGCGCCATAGAACTAAATGGGAATTTTCACCCCGAACGCCGTAGGTATAAATCCCGTCGCGACAAGACCCTCTACATGCAGGATATTCGTATACGTTACATTGCGCGACCGAAGAGTGTAATGTATTACATTATTATGTATAATACGTGCGTCGTTATGTTAATATCCGGCACTGGTGTCTTTGGGCTCGCGAAAAAATGGGAAACACAAAACAATACATTGGTGACGAGACGTGAAATTCGGACTATCCGATAACGCGGATTTCGGATTTGAAATACCGAAAATGCGGTATTCGGGCTTTGAAATTCGAGTTTTTTTTTTTCTTTTTTTATCATTGTAAATGTTTGGTTTTTCAATATTTTTATTCGTATTAAATAAATTTATATTTTTCATTAGCTTTTGTGTTGTACATAAAAAAAAAATGCCTAATCGAATACAAAATCCGGATTTTTCCCGCCAATAAAATGTATACACTTGTACATAGACTATTTTTTTTTTTGACGAGTATTAAATAAACAAGTTATAAACACAATACACCTATATATCAATTTTTTATTTTTAAATAGTAATATTATAAAATTCACGTTAGGGTTACCTACTCTTCCGACATAAATTTCAAACACTGGACCGCTATAGGTCTATGAAGTTAGCGAACGGATGACACTGAGCACTAATTTTCTTTTCAGTATTTATTGTTGAATTAGTGTTGGCGAACGGTACCACTCAATAAATGAGTGTTCTATTTTCCAACGAGATATTGGATTTTCCGTACATTTTCACATCAAACGCAGTGCCCGCATTTAATATTTTATACATAATATATTATTTATGTTCGGATATTTTTAAGTTGATCGATTTTCATTTTCCCTACAAATTTCCTATACGCAACTCCTTATGATTATTGAACGTGTGACATGAACATGATACAAACTTAATACAATTTATATGCAAATAATCGACGTGTCCTGTTTAATTCCCCGCGGGCCTTTGCATCAAACATTAAACTCGTATTAGTGAACAGACCGTGCGCTTGGAAAATTGATTAAAAACTACCGCGTGCGCTGAGGAAAGAAACGACGTACTAAATCGAATCCCGGAATATAAAAAGATTAACCGCTGGATATTGATGGATTTTCTCAGTAGAAAGCTAATAAATAACTATCGACCGGCGACCTACATAAATAATAAATTATAGTGTCTCGTTATATTATTTTATATAAATTGTTCAGGCATCTTGGTAGAATTTCGTATTGTGTATTTTTTCAAAAATGTACAATTCGTGTTGGTTTTTGGCAGGTCGAAGACTTGATATCCAATGACAAACTCAATGTGGTGTCCGAAGAGCAAGTTTTCGTGGCTGTCGTGGATTGGATCAAACACAATCAATCCGAACGATCGCAGTACATCGCCAAGGTATAATAATAGAGTCCATTTCCCGAGTGTCTAATGCATAATAGATCCCCTAATTCCTCCAAAAAAAAAAACTTAACTTACCCTTGTATATTTTTTTTTATGTTTATGATCACTTTTTTTTGTCTGTGAAAATCCTCAGAAATTATACGTACATTAAAAGATACGGATTTCCCGTTCGGTGGTACATTATTCGAAACATATTTCTAGATTCCCGAAAGTTTTTATGAACCATTTGAAAAACTGACAACATCTTTCTAAACCGAATGCTTTTACCTCGAATCTTCTTTAGTGTCTAAACTAATAGTTCCCAACTTCTGTTATTTTACGCCCCCTTTTGTAGCATTTTAAACGTCTCTCGCCTCCCTTCCCTTTTTCATAAACATGACAAAAGTTCATCAAGGTGTCGATAAGCAAACAAATCTTATCAAAAATGTCAACTGCCTCCTATCGCCTCTACCCAATCGATACCCGATTCCCGGTTATTATTGTATTTTTATATTTTCCCTGCATTGTAAAATACAAATAATATAATGAATACGAATTTTATTTCGTGATGATTACTTGCGCCTGCTCAGCAATGCGTACACGCTCCCACTCCTATTGCGAAAAGCTGGTCATCTAAACTAAACTGTTGTAACATACACGCCATCGTAAGAGCTGCAGTCTCTACCTATATTATATTATTGTATTATTTCGTTGTTCGTTTCAGCTTTTAGGTCACGTGCGACTGGCCCAGATGTCGAAAATGTTCCTGTTGAACGTGGTCGAAACGGAACCGCTGGTGCGCAGTGAACCCAGCTGCAAGGACTTGCTGTTGGGCGCCATGAAGTACCATCTGTTGCCGGACCAAAGATCCGATTTCGCGAGCAAACAGACCGAACAACGGAGGCCGGACGGCTTGATGCCGTACATCTTCGCTATCGGTGACTGACGACATTAAATCAATTTTTATTGTTTTACCGTGTAATATCGATAATAATACGTAAATCGCGGTGTTCACTTCAGGAGGCGGCAGCTTGTTTACCATACACAGCGCCGGCGAGTGTTACAACCCGAGGCACGACCGTTGGCTGCCGATCGCGCCCATGTCAAAGTGCAGGAGTCGCGCGGGCATCGTGTCGCTGGGCAAGCTGATCTACGCCATCGGAGGGTAAGCAGCTCTGTCGATTCGTTCTATTTGTTTCGGGATAGTGGATCGGAAAAACTTGACTCGTCTGTGCACTGCCGTCCGGTTCTGTAAACTCGAGTTTTTTTTCTGGGGGGGGGGGATAATCATAAGAGCTCCGAGGAACCACTGAATTTACACTAATGTTTTCCCGTGTATATACGCGTATATTATAGGTACGACGGCATAGTGGACCTGTCCTCAGCCGAGTGTTACGACCCGAACTACAACCGGTGGTCGGCTGTCACGTCACTGGGAACGAAGCGGAGCTGCCTGGGCATAAGCGCCAGCCACGGGCTGCTGTACGTGTGCGGCGGTTTTGACGGGGCATCGTGCCTGAGCAGCGTGGAACGGTACGACCCGCTCACCGGCGTCTGGTCTTCCTGTCCCAGCATGACCACCCGCCGGCGGTACTGCCGCGTCTCCGTTGTCGGTAAGTCGGCCGAACCTAAATACGCCCGTCCTTCTCTAGTAAAAAGGATCTAGTTTACAAAAACACTTCAGCGAGGTCCGCAGCCCGTCGTGCCGTGTGAAATCGAATTTGTTAGATTGCATTAGTTTTCCGCGTTACGGTTCTATAGCTTTCTGTGATAATAGTATACATTAAATAACTGATAAGATGATGTATATCCGACACCGTTTGCACGGTTAACGCGCGACCGAACCTTACTTGACCTCATCTCGCCGTGAATATAATTCTATTCTTTGTGGTATCCGTATCAGAAAAGAGCGTTTCACACGATACGACGACTTGAGGAACCCCTTTTTTTTTTTTTTTAATTCAAATGGGGCTTGCCCGTGTGTTCATCGCATTTGTCGTCACTGCCGTCACCTATTATACGCATTGTTTTTGACGGTGTCTCGCAGACAATTGCCTGTACGCATTAGGCGGCTTCGACTCGACGAACTACCAGTCGACAGTAGAAAGGTACGACCCGAGGATGAGCAAGTGGACGACGGTGCCGGCCATGAGCAGCAGGCGCAGCAGCTGCGCGGTGGCCACGCTGGACGACATGCTGTACTGCGTGGGCGGCAACGACGGAACCATGTGCATGTCCAGCGGCGAACGGCTGAACGTCCGGCGAAACGCCTGGGAACCCATCGCCACCATGCAGTGTCGCAGGTAACGCGGGAGAGAAACTCGGTTCTAAACGAATCTTGTGCTCTCGGATTTTGTGATCATTTTATTTATTTTTTTTTCAAATTTCGCGTTTACCGATTTTTTTTCCGTCGACAATCACAAATCTCAATACTTTGCAGGGCCACTCACGACATGGTAGAGCTGGACGGCGGTCTGCTGGTGCTGGGCGGCAACGACAGCAACTCGAGCTTGCACTCGACCGAGCGGTACGACCCGCGGATCAACCGGTGGACGATGTCGACGCCGATGCCGACGCGCCGGAGTTCGGTGGGCGCCGCGCTGCTGTACTGTTTCAATATGGACACCAAGCTGACGAACGCCGACGGCGGCATGACGGCCATGGCAGTGGCCGCCGGTAACGTCCAGTCCGCCGTGCTCGGTGGCGTCGGCCAGTGCGGCAGCAGCGGCGTCACGGTCGTCACGTCCGGAACGTCGTCTGTCACGCATTCGCCGTTCAAATCGACCGCCACGTCCGTATGATTGCCGTGGTCGACCTCCAGCGGCGGTTGGCGGTCGAACAACAACAATTCCGAACGTTCTCACTCGTTGCCAAACTAACGCCGCCCTGCACACACATGCGCGCACGCAGCTCACGCCGCGACGTAAACACTTTAGGTTAGGTTAGGTTAGGTTAGGTTTTCCGTTCTTATTGTTATTTCGTCCAATCAAATTCTCGCGACTGCCGTATCGATGTGATGTGTACTATAAAACGATTTTTTTTAAATTTAAATTTGTTTTTTAATCACCAACCAAGAAAACCCCAAACTTTCGGCTCGTCCGGCAACATAACACGTCACTCGTTTAAATGCAATAAATTATGACTGCATTCGTATTTTACGACGTTTTACACTGCCTAACTTATACAGGGTGATTGTGTTTATTCGTGTTATTGATGTTCACACCGCCCACAACGAATAATATCATACCGTCTTAATAAGTTTTTTTTTTTTTTACGAGATATTTGTGCTTATTGCCACATTATGTTGTCGTACAGTTTTCGCGAATTTTCGAACATAGTGTTATTACGGACTCTATGTTGTCGTTACACTGCCATCTATTAAACGGTCTACTTTGACCATAGATAGTAATAAAATATATACTGCAATTAGGTAGCCGACTGTATAATAGATTCCCAGAACGATATGAAATTGTACAGACATTTGTACCAAGAGGACGAATTATTGTATTGATTAGCCCATCAAGGCGTGGAATATTTGATTATGCCGTGAGAATGCATATTTCTCTATGCCTTCCTTAAAACAATTTGTGCATAATTTCAAATGTTCTTCATATTATCATATAGTTTATGGCATAAGCAAATATTGAATGGGACAATCAATAAAATTGCACTTAGTTTATGACTGCCTGCAAGATGCAGGCTTCTCATTTACTTGATTTTACTCATTTACCTATTTCTTAAATTCATTTGCTACCTGCTAAAAAAAACCCAATTAGCAGCCCTTGAACTTAATATATTTAAATTTAAATTTTAAACCAAGATCAAAATTTGTTTTGTTATGGTTTTGTTTTTTTTCTTTTTGTTATAAGTATATTCATAATTTAACTTGTTACTTAACTATACATTACCACATTGTAATAGGACTCAGTGTCCATATATTTGAAATAAATAATAATAATAAATAAAAACGGCTATCTAGTTGTTATATAGAATATTATAATTGTCTATGGTTATGATAAAAATTCCAAACACGAATTTTACGATACCTATTCTACAATATGGAACCAATATACTGTTCCGGATCATTTTTTCTTTTTATTCTCTTTGATGCTTATTGCGTATAACCCGACAAAAAATGTAGTTAGTTTCCTCGCGATGCGTTTGAAAAATCATTGCAGTTTTCGCAAATATTACAAAACGATTTAATTAAATCGGTGTCGGTCGCGATCGAAATATTTCGATATCGTGCTGGTGAAAAGTTCGGTAGTCAAGGAAAATGATGATTTTGAGGTAGTATTTTACACTGTAGGTGCGGTTACTGGTTTTTCGCCCGCGAAATAAAATATTAATATTCGTCAAAATAATGCACTATAAAATAACTGAGAATATTATTTGTGTGCGTGTGTGTGTGTGTGTGTGTGTGTGCGTAAGTAGTACATTGCGTATTCTGGCCAGCGTAAACTTAGTTGTATATTATACGAAATGGTGTCGTATAGCGTTTTTTGGTTGAAACGCTCAAGTTCATTACATTATAAGATTCTATTATAATAAACCTGTACATTCTTAATATCGAATTTCAATACGAAATCGATTGCGACTCTATCGGTATAAATCTAAAGCCATTATATGTGTACCATTAGTGGGCAAATCGTATTGATTAACCCGTGAAATATTTGTTGTGTAGGTCGCGAGCCAAGCGATAAAAACGAAAAATATCCGAAATCAAACGAAAAATGCATTTTGATTTGCGATAGATAAAAATGAATATAATAGTCTTGAGTGCGACGGATGTAAAATACGGTCTGAAACTACACCTATAGGCATAATGTCTACCCAGCGCCGGTCGTGTTAATAATTTCAATAATCTCTCTCGGTATACGGCTGCCGACTTCGTAAGGAGCTCTGTTATATACAGTCGGTTATCTATATAATAGCAATCGAGTCGGCATCCGAACCGTGCAACTGTGTACAGGTGCAAACGATTTTGCTCCAGAAGCGTTTTATGTATTATATTTAAGTAGATATTATATACGTTTGTATTGCATATAGGTATGCGAATTTTAATATATATATACCCGAAATTGGTGTGTAATTTACTCGATATTATGCTGTCTATATATTATGAACCAGTACCAAATACGAGTGTAACACTCGTAAATATTATGACAAAAAATATGTTTGGCGGTCTGTTCGTGTCGCTTACCGTACCTTACGTAATACAGGGTGATTATTTAATCATATATTATAATTTGAACACGAAGCGATTATCTAGAAAAAAAAAAAAAAAATTAAATACTTATACATACTTTTTCTGTTTTCGAATCGGAGTTTCAAAATTCACGTCGCTATATTTTGTACGTTGAAAGTCTACGCGTGTTTTCGAAACAAGAATAAAACTTTCGAAAATATTTTCTTATTGTAAAACGTGTCACGAGTTAGAATATTAAAAACTGCTATATTTTAGTTTAAAATGTCCACCACACATACCGTGATAAAAAAACAAAATCAAATTTACTCAAATATCGCTGGTCCGTGACAAAAAAAATCGCCCTGCGTATGGTATAGGTTCAATATTACGCTATTCGGCGTGTGTGCACTTAGGCGTTTTATTGTCATTTTAGTTTTTATATATATTCTATATATAATCTCGATATGAGGACCGATGTCGGGAAAATGTTTAAAAAAAAATAATAAACAAAAATTGTTTTTTTACGGAACCGGCAAAATAAAATGTTTTCAAAAACATCAATTTTTCAAGAAATAATATTTACTTTCCCGCCGCGAAACGTCTCGATTTCCCGGTAAAACGCCGCTTTTTTCGCCGGAAAACTTATTTTTTCGTTCATACATTTTGATCCTTACGGTCACGAGTGTCTGCTTGTCGCCGCCACCGCCGCCGTCGTTGTTTTCCGTGGACATATTTTCCGTCTCGCGAACAACAAACCCGTTCGCTTTTCAATTAAGTTAGTATTATGTCGAAACATACAAAACGTACGATCGTATATTTTGGTATTTCTCCGCTCCCCCCGCGTTGAAAAATTACACAATTATTATCAATTCAGTGGCGTAAATTAGTCTCGGTTTCTGGTGTTGCGGTGAAATATTTGATTTTAAACGCACCAATACTCAAACATTCTCGCAGGTAAACCTAACCTGCCTAATACACGATTAGTTTCCACTTTTTTTTTTTTTTCACAAAAATTAGTAGGTATTGAATTATTTGAACAGTAAAAGCTTCGTGGACAAATAAATACTAGTGGATCAAATAATATTCACGTAATTTATCGTGACGTCTTACTTTTTTATAGGTATGCGTCACACCTGACAGCTGTCCCATCGTAGAATTGTATCATGACGAAAAATCCGAGTAGAACACAATTCCGTACGTTTTGTACCTAAGATTTTAGTGGAATTTTGCCAGATTTCCATAAAGTTACTTAGATATTTGACTAATTGATTTAACTATAGCGTTTTACGTGTAGGGTATTCCTAACCCTTAAATATACTTTAATTTAATCAATGTTCTAACTACTATAGTAACATTTATGATTTATATAACGTACAACAGCGAAACAGTCATTATATATCAGATAAGTTTCTGTTTTATTTAATTATGCGCCGGAATATTATGTTCAGCTCTATACAAATAATTGTTTCCAAATTTGTTTTTATATACCCGTAGTTTATTTTTTCTTGTCTGAAAAATCCAAACAGATCTACATTTTCATGTAGTTATTTCTTCAGGAATTAAGTGAAAAACTAATTTTATTTTATACTATAGTTTGTAGTTATTAAAAAAATTGTTATATTATTTTATGCTACTAAATGTATACTATTCAATTCAATTGGGCAATTTTTAACTTTGGCTTATTTAAGTTCATCAAATTTTTTTGTAATGTTATAATATTTTTTAAGAAAATTAAACGAATTGACATATTTGATCAAAATCAAACGGAATCGTGTTCCCAAAAAGGTAAAACGTACGGAATAGTTCTTTACCGAAGATTCGAATTTATTTACCTACTAAAAGAAAAAAAAAAAATGTTTACTTTTGAAAATATAAATTATGGGTTTCTATTTGTAACGTTTTCTAGTGATCGCATTTCATATGTCCCATGGGAATGTAAGTCCCAATCACAAGCTAATTTACGCCACTGATTATTATTACACACTCATCACTCGATAACTAAACGAATTTCGGACAAAATTATTATTATTATTATATTATACAGTCATGCGGACATTGTTCGGGGGACCAAAGTTTATATATTATATTATTCTCGTCTCGTGTAAATATAATAAAGCGTTCGTTTTCGGACATCATAACAATAATAATATTATAATATTGTTTGTACTTACCTACTTAAAATTGATTTTTATTGGTTCCTAATTTAATTTACCATTTTTTTTTTCTTTTTGTTTTTGTTTATTTTTTTAGCACTATATTGTTTTTTTTTTTTTTTTGATACATATACATACATTAGAGTCGACGCAAATCATAATATTATTTACCTTGTCTATATTTTGTTTCGATATTGTTTTATTTTGATTACCATTATCATATTATTATATTATACATTTATACTATACTATATACTGCTTATATGATTCTGTGATGGATAATAATAATAATTCGTTTACGAAATATTGAATATCATTGTATATTGCCTGTGTACGGTAACCTTTACTACAAATCTCTATTCCTATTATGATAATTTTATAGAATCGATTTGTTTGAAACATTAAATAGAATAAAAAAATCGTGTGAAAGTACTGAAATCTATATAATATATTATGTCGAGAAATTAAGTTTTTATCGATTCCCCGATTTCAAACACAACTCTATATAAAATAAGGGTGACAAAAAAAAAGAGTACCTAACGTAATATTTTATAAAACTATTTATTTCTTAAATGTTCTGAAATAAGTTAATACTTTAAAGACCGACTGAAACTTATTTAAAAAACACTACAGGACAGCAGAGATATTCATTAATTAAATGGCCACTTTAAAAATACATACAGACATTGAAGTTAAAGCAGATTCAGTGCTTGATGAAATGGTGAGGCACTCTACTTGAAGAATTAATCATAGGCTGTAAATTATTATTGTTATGATACTATGGCTTATGATTTAAGAATATTTAAAACCATAATTAATATGAGTCAAAATTGTTTTCTAATATGCATTTTCTATAAATGAAAGTTAAACAATTCAAAGATTTTACTCATAAACCTAACCCCTAAACTCAACCCCTCCACTCCTACAAATACCAACCAAAATTAAATTTTTTTTCAAATTCATAAAACCCTCTTCGAAAATAAATCCTGGTTGCACCACTACGTATAGGTATCTTACAAAATATTAAAAGACGTATTTTATCATAATACAGTTTTTGTTCTTCGGTAAGTAAATTTTAAACTTATCTACTTAATTTTATAAATATTATTACGGGTTATAGTTTTACTAATCAAACACAAAACAATATTATGGTTACTATGACGAAGAATTTAATGACACGAATTAAGATGTATCTTAATTAAAAGATACCTATATATTCTTAAATCTTAATCGTAATTAGTAATGAACATATTATCAATAGGAATGATACATGATCTAAGATAAAAAAGTGGTGGCGTCAAATAATTCAAAGTTATTGTATTTCATTGCAGTTTTTATCAAGTTCATCAAATTTTAAATTTAATTTCGGAGTAGGGGAGAATGAGGGATTACCGATCAGTGACTAAAACACGGAATATATGTGATGTTCATTTTTCGTTACGGTATTTGTTTTGGATTTTCAATGAAAATTTACCACCATAGGCGCAACTAGAGGGGTGATCGGGGCTGCTTCAGCACCTCGGACTTTAATTTAGCAACCCCAGTTCAAAAACGATAAAAATTGAAAAACAGTGTAAAAACAGCTGCCCTAGGATAATGGAGATGGGTGCAGCCACTGTTATAGGTAATTTAATGTATAATTTTTATTGAAATCTGAGTAGTACTGTAAGGAGATCATTTTTCAATTTTCTCAAGAGTTTTCTCATCAAATTTGAACACCAGGAAAAACATTGGAAAACCGGGATAAACGTAAAAAAAAAACGGGAAAATCGTTACAATATTATTAAAGAAAATAATGCCTAAAATTTCGAATCTTATCGAATGATTACAATGAAGATGCGGATAAAACCAGTGTGCAATTTTCCGCACCACCTTGGCTATCGACTAACGCCAATGAAATATTATTACGAATATTTGACGTTATTCGAAAAGCGTATGAGGTTTTGCACGAGGCGCGTTTTTTTTATAGTGGTATCCCCAATTAGGCCTAATCCACTGTGTCCATTAACCTAACCTTACCTTAAATCCATAATATAACACTCTAAAATATAATACGATCACCGAATCCCGATCTTCGTTCCTTGAAGTCATCCGCAGCTACCAGCAGTCTTGGGTTGAAGAGTTCGCGTGCAAAAAAACCGGTAAAAAACCATAAAGGAATAAAAAGATTTACGAAAAGATAGAAAAAAACACTACTATTATACCGATGAAAAAAACTTAATAAACTATTGAAAAAATTTAAAAGGAATGATTATAAAACAATTCAGAAAAATAAAAATTTAAAAACGACAATGAATAAAACAAATTTAAGAAACATAATTTACGACGATTCGATTAAATACGCGTACTATAAACAAAATTAATTTTATTGCTAACATTATAAGCCAACACGTTGTTTTGCGATATTTATTTTCGTTCAGATAAATAAATTGTATTAATCAGTAAGCATACCTATAATTTTTGCAAGGCAAATACCTCAAATAATATCCGTATACAATTGTATGATTTTACAATTGATTGATTTTCATAAAAATCTGAGCTTCAAATGTACATAAAAATAAAAAGACGGCCATTCTTCGCATATGGCTGCAGCCACTGTTGTAGGTGGGAAGTTGGGAAGGTAGGATACAGACGGAAATTTAATGTATGTCTGTAAGCAACGATGGCTTAGGTGACCGGTATTCCCCCATTTCCACTAGGAACTTAACCCATATATCTGTATGGTCCAGAATTGAATGCACTAAAATTGTTGGAAATATACATGCACAGAAGACAGAAGTATGAGTTCAAAATAACTGAAATATGCAACATTTATTTGACATTTGGTACTAAATCATTAAAATAGGGGGGATAAAAATCGATCTATTACAACTTTTACACTTTTTTAAATTTATATTAGGTACTTATGTACCTAAAGATAGGTACTTACAATATGAAGAGCTACAGGAAAAAACGATAATAGTGAAAAATAATAATAATAAATACGATAGTTATAATGTTATCATTTTCGAATAGAGTTGAAAAGATAAAAATCACAGTCAATGATATAGCAAAGATTTAATTATACGGTTCAATAAGGTTTTAATATAGTTCTGAAACTTTAAAACTGGAATACTGAATATTTTAGACATTGACTATTATTGTTCTTCCCCGTAGCCCTTCATATATTTAATTTTACTTTTACTAATCTATATAGGTACACTTATTTATTTAACGGGTTTTCAACATCGTGTGCGGGAACTACTTCTATCTTTTCTTCGTCATTTTCATCTGCAACGAAAAAATAATAAAAATGTATTACAATAATGTGAAATTGAGGGTAGATTTGAAAAAAAAACTAGGTAGATACCTATTCATAACAATTGCCTTAATATATATCCTTAATTTGTGTCCAATGTAAAGCAGGTAGACACCTATGTAGAGATTCTATATAAACGCAATATGTAGCCTATATTAACCTACATGTATATGCAATATGGATAATTATTATCAGGGTTTTATTATTAATCAACAAATTCAATACCCGCCTAATTACAAAATAAATCAATTTTACAAGTAAAAAAACGGACATACCTACTTCGCACGATGGATGAGCCACTGTTGTAGCCTGTAGGTGAAAAGTTTGGAAGGTATAGGGAAAAATGTAGGAGGTATATCTGAACGCAACGATTAACCATTGGCCGTTGCTAACGAAAAACGATTCTGAGCGGAATTCGGTTAATATAGTATTTGCTTTATCAACATTAAATATGCCATAATATGGTAAATTATCACAAATGCAACGCAGTGTAAAAATCATAATGAAAATTATGCATTATATATATATTTTTTTTTTTAATAATATTTGTTTAATATTGTACCTATTTTCCCATGTTGTTATTTTACAACTGGGAAAATCAAAAAATAATCTGTGTAAAGTACCACCCCAATCAGATTTTTTTTTCAGAAAAAGTGCTATAATTTAAAATCGGAGCAAAATTACTGGCAAGAAAGTTATTCACAGATAAAAAAAAAACATCTTTGTAAAATCAATAAATTCCTCACTCTACTCATAATCTAAAAAAATATAACATATTTCGCACGATGGATGGGCCACTATTATAAATGAGAAGTTGGAATATAGAAGGGAATTCATGTATACCTATACGCAACAATTAAAAAATAATATATTTTGTAAATTGTCCAGTTTTCCTCATTTATTATGAAAATAACAGGGAAAATCAAAAAATGACTTCCCTTAAGTACCACCTCATTCAAATCTCCTTTTATAAAGTGCTCTACAATAGATTCTGCTTAATGTGGTCACCGGCCAATGCGGACAGTCGACTAATATGGGCATAAAGGTTTAGTCCCAATTCTAATTTCCATTAAAATGGGTAACCATTTAAAAAGAACAAATATAACTGGTCCCAACTTGCTCACATTAAGCAGAATGCACTGTATTTGAAAATCAGATCAAAATTGCTAAGTTGTTCACAGGTAAAAAATATCATTGTAAAACAAATACATTCCTCAAATCTAAAAATCATTGATATTGTTTCTTTGAGGAACAATTATACCTATTAAAATATTAATAGGTACCTAGTACCTAACCAATGGATTTAGTTCTTTTGATCTTTTGTTTTAGACATTATAAGTTTTAGATTATTTTAAAAGATTTCAATATTAACAGCCTAGACATAATGAAATATTGATTTTTAATATTTGTAATTACTTTTGATTTTAATTATTCAAGTATTTATTGTTCAGATTACTGATTGTACTGATTATTATAAAAGTAATGTTTTGTAAGTATTACAACTTGTCAAGTATATAAATTAATGCAAACTGAATAGGTTTTATCAAATTTTTTCTTTACATATTTCCGTGATATTTGTCAATTTTTTAACGCATATAATTCCAGGTTACTTATTACAACAATTAAACCTTCAACTAAAATATTAAAAATATAATCTGTTGCAAAAACAGAATCAAAAACATTTTCTTAAAAATTAATTAAGATATCAATACATATGTAGTAGTTAAAAATAAATGTTAACAAAAAATAGAATATTTTTCAGTCTAAAATCATTGTTCAACTTACTTGACCAAAACTTTACTTATTGATTAAATTCTGAATATATTGGTTTTAAATATGTTTTTTATTTCAATATTTGTGACTACTCCATAATATATACCATAAAATATTCAGATTCTCGGCACGGTGGTATCATATTTAAACAATTTTTCTAGAAGTGACCACAATTAAAAATGTTTAATATTAACGACCAGATGGAAATTTCACATCTCAAAATTAGATTTTTAAATATTTCAATTTTCGTATTGGGCTCTCGATTAAATTAAATTTTTGTTCTTGTTGATACAGATATTTGAAAATTAAAGTGGAACGCAAATTACTAAACATTCACTCAAGGATATACTTACATTTTTAACAACACAATGTATATAATTTATATATAAATTGTTATTATTTTTTTATTAAAAAAATAACTTTACTTTATTATTTTTGGAAAATTTTAAGATAACCATTCTATAGAATTTATTTTTCTGAAAATTTTAATGTATCACACAATTATATCCGATGAAAAGTTTCTAACAGCAATTTTAAATTCTATTAATTAGAGTAAAAATCGATGTTATCACATAACCCGGTTATATTATTCCCTATATAACATTGGTTTTCACACGGAGTAGTAAAATTCGAAACAGCTGTTACTTAGAAACTATTCATCATATATAAATTTGTGATACATTAAAATTTTCAGAAAAGTGGTTGTATTAAAATTTACCAAAAATAATAAAATAGATATATTTTTATTTTTTTACTAAAAAAAAAACTTTAAATAAGAATAAATATTTGTTGTTATTATCCCTAAATAATATATATATAAAAAAAAACAGAATTTGATTATCTTTATTTTCTACAGAAATATTCAAGAGTTTATCTTCATGGGATAGTTTGTATAGAAATTTTAAGGTAGTATATTTTCTCCTTTCGTAGTCCCAAGTTGATTCATTTTTCACAGATCCCTACATTTTTCTTAGCACCTACCCCTCAAATATAAGAAGTTTTTACTCATCTCCTTGAGCTGTCTATCAGGTCTCATAAGCATATATCACTATTAGTAAACTAAATATATATTTTAGCCTGTCACCCATGCATTATAAAACTCCATACTGAAAAAAACAGATGCTCCCTACAATAATTTAATACTTGTTTACAATTTATATCTAGCAAACTCTTTCCGCTTTTGTTAACATGCAAGTAATCGCAACTTGGCTTTACATAAAACCTCTAATGAATTTTATACTAATACATACACTTATAACACTTAAAATATTTAAAAAAAAAAACTAGTTTTTTGCACTCTTCTTAATATGGATTACTGATATACTATATTTGCCTTTTCACAACGATATGTATATTATATGATGGCCCATAATGACTCTAGGCAGTCTATTGTAACCTGGCAACCGACTCAAAACTTTTCTAAAATCTAAGGTTGGGTAAATGCATACTCCTGCCTACCCCATCCAAATACCACCTTCAATATTCTCTTTTCTAATGTTGTTATGTTTAAACTTTAATTCCATTTAAAAATTTGTTTTCAGTATTGTAGTTTTGATAAAATGCCTATTTGTGTTAGACCAAGACAATGAAATGGGGGTATAGTCACCCTTCTCAATAACAATAAAAAAAAATATTGCACCTAACACAAAAACTATACACGTTTGTCAAACAAATGAGATGAATGGACTTTTTTTTTTTAATAACAAAAATCTAGATCTCTAGATCTAGAACGCTTTATTCATTTACCATGAGAACCAAAAATAAAATAATAAAAAAAATAAATAGTAAACAATGAGTATGGTGATTACCATGGTCACCACCGGTAGCTATATTCTATTCCAAATAGGTCTGGAAAAATTGTGGAGGCAAATGTGCTGTCATTAGTTAGTTATCGGCGCCCGTTGTTACTCGTTGTGATTGATCGGTAGCCGGAGCACATTGCCATGTATAAGGATGATTATAATAACAACGGTTCAAGCATAATATATACTATAATATTATATTTACATTATAATATATATGTGGAGAGTAGAACGTTGTATGCAGCTTGTATGTACGCAGTGTTATGAAAATTCTATCAGGTTGTATACAACCAGATCGTTGCCAACAGCGCTTGCTGCTGGCAGATCATGTGATATACCTGCGCCAAACTGGACGCGGTTTCGTCAAACATTTTTCTAGATTTATTTGGAATAGAGTATAGTATTTGTAATTAAGATTCCTAAATTTGACTCTTTTATATAAATTTTTTTTTTGAGCACATTAAAATAAAAATTCTGTAAACAATAACTTTTAATAAATTGGCTACCAGTACTAGATTAATTAAAATTTAAGTACAAAATACTACATAAAAGTAGTGAAGAAAATAAAAAAAAAATAAAAATAAAAAAAATAATAATTAATTCACATTTTCTTCTTCTTTTATTGTTTTAGCATAATTGATTGCAGTTTTGTATGCTATACTGACAATATTACTTTCATCGGATTGAACATTATTATTTGGCAGAGAAATTGATACTACGCTATTGTTATACGTTCCGCCTAAAATAATCATAAAACAGGAATCACCCAGGAATTTCATCCAATATAATTTTTTTAAAAAAAATTATAATTTAAATGTATACATCTCTGAAGAAGTATATTTTACTTGGATGAAAACACATAATAATAATAATAATAATAATAATAAAAAAAAAAAAATTTCTTTAAACATATTTTTGTTGAAATTATACAGTTTTGAATGGAATACATTACAAGCAATTAACATAACCTAACCTACTACATATAAAATTCATCCAGTCTACTTCTTACTTTTCAATTTGTCACTTTGTTCATCGAATGCAGGATCACTAATGTTTAACATAAGATTATTTCCACTGAGGAACACTTTGTTTTGAGAAGTGGCAATCTAAAAGTTAAAAAATAAAATGATTAATTATAACTATTTTCGTTAATAACAGACATTTCAGACATACCGTTCTGGAAATATTTTGAGCTGCCCTGATTTTACGAAGTTTTAGGTAACCTGGATTTCTACCAACAGCTTCTCCTAAGTGAACATTTCAGTTAAGGTGAATGTATCTTAAAAATAAATAAATGTATACTGGAAGAAAATATTATATAATAGTTGCGATACATAATATCTCAGCAGGATTATAGTAATTATTTAATTATTTATTGAATTAACGCCAAGCAGGAATGGAGGTTGTCAATAATTTTTTCCTAATTTTAAAGTTTTGTCTGAACTTTTCATTATTTTAAGACTTGATTTTTTAAAAATTTACCTAGTTTAAAAATATCAGTTTTGACCCAAATTCAAATATGTCTTACCAAATATCAGGTATAATAAGGTCACCATACTCATGAGATCATGTTAATAATATTATCAATCTGAAATAAATAATAAAGAGTGATTTCAGTCAGTGGTAACCCACTAAACCAGAAACCAGGTAAGATACATTTATTCTCGCCAATACCGATTGTTTTGAATACTTTTCAATTTATTGATTTTTTAATGCTTAAACTCAATTTATGAAGAACTAAAAGGTCAGAATAAAAAAATAATTTCATTTTTAAGCTTACCATGTTCATTAAAATAAAGTTAGTGAATTTAATTAAACATTTTTTTTTTTTTTGACAACCTTCACTGTATAGGTAAATACAAATACAAAAACAAAAATATATGTAATGCAGTAGCACAAAAATAAGACACTCTAAATCACTTAACTCAAGATATACACGAGAAAGAAGAGATTTTGGATGACTAGTGTAACTATAAATAAAGAGGGGCAAATATTTTTTAACAGTTTAGAACATTAAACTACTCAATTCCTACCCAAATTTAAAAATGGAATACCTCATTAACGAGTTAATGAAAATATAATAATTATCATGAAATTCGGAGAACCAGTATAATAATAATAATATATAGAAGATTAGAAAATGGAATAAATTAATAATAAAAAAGGATATCATTTTTGCTGCTTCTGCTTCTCCCTCAGCTTGCAAAATTTTTTGTTGACGTTCTTGTTTTGCCCGTTCGACAAAAAATACAGCACGTTGAGCTTCTTGTTGGGCCACTTGTTTAGCCTCTACAGCTGCTGTATATTCTTTGCCAAAACTCAATTCAGTTATGGATACATCGTCCAAGATTATATTAAAATCACGAGCACGATCAACGAGTTGCTTTCTAATGAGAAGTGAAACCTATAACAAATTGTAGACAATTATATTAATATTAGAACCTTCAATAAAAAAAATACCTAAATTGCTATTTAAATCACTATTTATTCAAGAAATAAGAAAAAAGTATAAATAATACACTCAGCTGATATTGATATTGGTACATCAGTATATCAGGAATCAATGGTTTTTTTTAAACTGATAATTAAATCAATATAAATTTAAGTAGCATATCAATTTGCATTTAATGGTGGTTATAACAATAATGGCAAAGTGTATTTAAAGGTACATGATAAACTGATAAATAGTAAACACACCTTGACCTTGAATAATGCTTTAATTATTATGATATATCATTTATCAATGGTATCTATGCAGAAATCTTGGATGTTTTGATTTCACATAATTTATATCAATTTTTCAGAAAATACAGCTTTTTTATATTAGCTCATAGATCCAAGACAATAACAAATTGGATTTATATACTGGAATATCGACCTAACTCTAATCAATAACAGTCCTAAATTCCATAGACTGTAAATAAGTGAGTCCCAACTGGTAGTTTGTGAGCCTGCCAAAATAAAGGCAAAGGTCTTTACACTTAACTGTGGTAATTTATACCATAATATTAAACGTTTATTTTTATGCCATTACTGGAAAAAAAAAATCATCAGCCAATCTAGGTGTTCTGTAATTTACTGAAAATTCTCTAAATGACAAATAGTTTCAAAAAGATTAGAAGACACTGTTGTAAATATTAAAAATGTCTGTGAATAATATTGTAAGATGATAGATTTAACTATTTCAATACAAAATCAAAATTATTAAATAATATTTAGACGCCACACTTGAATAGCAAAATGTCTTTATTTGTGGCATAAAGAGGAGTGCATTCAAAAACTCAACTTTAGATAATTTGTAAACTCTAGTATCGTTCTTTATATCAAAGTAAACTGCCCTGCCGTTCAAGAATACAGAGTTGTTAACTCTGAATTAATTCTAGCAAGTTAAAAAAAAAAAAAATCTATTTATAATTATATAGATTTTTTTTGTTAAAATTGATAACAATGCTTATTACATAGGGATTATAAATCCGGTACCATTTCATTCTTTTTTCTATAACAAATTAGTTTATATACAGTTAAATTTCAATACATTTCAAAATTTGAAATATTCAATATAGATATGTAATTATCATTTCCTCAACTATTAACAATGTCGGCCATTGTTCAGTTATTTGGAAAACAGTTGATTAGACTATTCTCTCAAGTAAAATGTAAAACAAAAAATTGACCGCAACAAGATACATTAAAGCAGACAATAAACCAGTAGGAACATATTATAAAATACACGTTTGTAATATTTTATATAATATACCACGTGCATATTAGTACCTGTTGTCTTTGAGTAATTAGCTGTGACGCATTATATTTAGCAACGACAGATTTCAAAACTTCGTTACAGATGGAAGGCAATACTTTTTCATCATAATCAATACCCAAATGCTGGTACATGTCTGGCAATTTTATGGCATCTGGTCTTGACAAGACTCTGAGTGAAATGTTAACCTAGTGTATTATAAAATCAATTTATATAAAAACTATATACTTTATATAATAATATAGAATATTATATTATATTATTATAAAAAATGTTTGTAAACCATTTGTAAATCTTTAGAACCAGTGGGTGAAGATATTTTCCGTGGTCTGGATCTAATATCAAAAATGATAGGATATTGAAACCAAGGTAGACGAAAGTGTAATCCTTCGGGAAACACTTCTCTTTGGACACCTCCAATTCGATTGAACATAATTGCACGGTGACCACCTTCAACTAAAAAAAAAATTAAAAGTGTAAGTTAAAATGGTTGTATTTATAATCCGGACTAAGTAAATAACTTCAAGAATCAAATGTATTTGTTTTAACTTTAAAAGATGTTATGTAATGACATGCGAGGTACCAATAAGGAATACAATTTTACTTTTGTCAAATGTTTTTCATCAACCCAAAAAAGATATTATAATATTTCATGGATACTTTTAGGATTCTAATTTTACAAGATGCAATATAAGCATACAAATTTGTTTTTAATTATAATAATCATCCCCCTTCATCTTCCATAATATTATAAAAGGATACATATGAGCTGAAAATATTCAGTGACATCTCTTATCTTTTTATGATCATAAATAAAAAGATGGACATACTTTGCACATGGGTGGACCATTGTTGTAGGTGATAAGTTATAAAGGTAGTAGAGGGAAAATTTAATGTATATGTACGCAACAATTAAACATTTCTAACAAAAATGATTCTGAGCAGAGTTTGGTTAATAGTGTTGCTTTGTCAACAATATATATATGTCATATTATGGTAAAAAAATAACATAATATGTATTACCTATTAATTTTTTTTAGTAATATTTGTTTAATATTGTATTTATTGTCAAGTTTTTCCCATTTATTGGGAAAACTCATGGAAAAGTTTAAAAATAGCTCAAATGTTTTGAAAATATTACCATGTCTACAAAAAGCAAATAGAAGTTTTCTTTTCAAATTTCAAATCTCTACAAATGTTTTTAACTGAATTACAACAATAAACAAAATTAAAAAAATAATAAAAACATTTTTTTCGTACATTTCCCATTTTTTCCCAGATATTATGAAAACTGCTAGAAAAATCAAAATATTACCTCCCAAAAGTACCATCTGGACAATATTTCTATTCAGAAATGGTGCCACACACATATATATATGGGAGCAAACTTTATAATAGAATATTTGTACACAGTGTAAAAAAATAAAAAATAAAATTTTTTGTAAAACCAATAAATTCATTGATACACTCAGAATCTAAAATATAAATCTGAGCCTTATTTAAAATAGACTATTTGATAGTAACCGGTTTTTTTCAAATATTTTTTTCTGACTACCAATACTTAATACCCATGACCAAACCAAATAAATAATTTTGTATCAATACATTTTTTTTTTTTTCAAGTATAAATAATTGGTACAAATATTAGTAATAATACTTGTTTATTAAATAAAAATAAACAATATTGTTTTAGGTAACTTCTTTTTTTAATTAAAATGTTTTTTTTTTTTACATCTTTACTTGCAAAAAAAAATAACAAAAACAAAAAATAATATGTATTAACAATTTTCGAAGTTAAATATGAATACACTCTTAATCTAAAATGTATAATGAATACTCAAAAAATCGTGAAACAAAAATAAATATAGTAACCAATTATCTGTCATCATTTTGTGTACAATATTTCATATATTATACAATTGATCAAAATAGACATATTCTATGTACCTAATACGAAAGCCGACTCTATGTAAACCATAGAGTATTCAAGTAAACTTGAAAAAAAAATAAAAATTTTAATCAAAAATTCAAAACATTTTGATAAGTTTGTTACTGTGATTGTAGATAAAATATATTTGGCTGTTTAGGAATATAATACCTACTAACACTCTCTCAAAATTTCGGATTTTTTTTGGGAATATATAATAAGCTAAAATCGTATTTTCGAAATTACAAAACCACGTCAGGTGGGCAACAGTGAAAAGTGGAATAAGAGGCCCAACTAGGTCACTAACTCATTTTAAACTTCATTTTAAAAATATATGAGTAAATATTTTATGTACACCTAACTAATTGTATTTTTTATCCTGGATAATATGTACATTTGAACTGAATACCTACCAACATCTCATAATTACGGCGTAAAATATTTAATTAAGGATTTAATATTATTTTACACGTCTTCATTGGTTTTATTACAAATGATTAAACTAGTTTTGTCGGACAACCACATTAATACTACATCATAAAGATTCTAAAATGTCTCACTCATGCTGCATACCAGTAGTGACCAACGACGGCCCATTGGCCTATTCCGGCTCTCGATTATTTATTAATCGGCCTACCAAAGTATTAAATCAAATTTCAAAAATTCAACACTCCCTCTATACTTTAGATTTTTTTCTCATTTATAACGATCGATATTCAATAAATAATAAATAATTAAATATATCACTGTACCTATATTAAGACATAACTACAATAAAATATACTATTCTGTTAACTTAAAAGTAAAAATTTAAATTCTTGGCCGGCCAATTTTTTTACTGCCCTCTGTTAAAAAAAGGTTGGTAATCACTGCTGTATACCATTAAATGGTCGTTTAAGCACAAGTTTATCACACGCGCCGATACGTACTTTTACGATCAGTAATAAAATATAACTTTAAACGGGAGTCAAAACTAATATTAGAATTCGAGTTTAATGATATAATGTTATAATGTTGCGCAATATCACGGTCGAATATATGTAAATTTGATAATATTATGTGGGTAACGAAATGGTCTAGCCAAAGTATTCATCAAAGTACACTTACAAATAACTAAACCCTCGAGAACGACGAGAACAAAAATTGTTTTTAATTACCCGTGAACATCGAATTGGCCAAACCGTAAGCAGCCAGACCGACACCGGCGACGAGTTTCACGCCGATATTCAGACCTTTGGCTGCTCCCATTTTGTTGAAAAGATCGTTCACTTTGTTGTCCATATTGGTTCGGGCGTTCCAACTTATTAATTATAAGTCGTGCAATGAGTAAACTGAATTCAAAAAAAACTTGACCGAAACGTGTGTGAAAATCAAGAAAACGAAGTATGGGAAGTATTGCTATCACACAGCGGCCGACATCGACTATAACCTCAAAACTATTGGTAACGGCGGTAACTCAAAAGTGGTACAATGTTAGCAGTGAGCGGCCAGTGGTTCACAAAATAGTTTCGTAACTGATAGTGGATCATCAGCATAGATAATGTAATGTAACAAATCATATGATTATAACAAAGGGGCCATCCGTGAAAATTAGAGATAAGGAGACCGAACTCTTATGGCCGCCCGTTGTAAAAATGGAACGGCAAAAAGCACATGGTTTTCTGCCACCAGTAGCGCGTAGTTCGATTAGAGTCCGACGTTTTACATTATGCTTCATACCGTATGATTAAATGAGGATTATGTGAGTTTTCAATTTATTTTCAAATCAACACTACATTGGGTATCAAACAATTGGCTTTCACCGACAGTGGCTAGATATCCCAAGGAACAACAACGATCTATTTGCCAGTTCGACAAAGTACCGAAATGTGCGTTTATATAATTAAAATCCTAAAATATGCATTTGAAATAAAAACGCGTGAAATGTGCAAAATGAAAATAGTATCATTTGATTTTCGCAGAACACGAATCAAGTTTCTATCCACGTCACTATTGAATTGGATAAACAGAAAAATATATGCGGTTTCGTAGACATACTACTTGTCCACTATACGAGCCAATTATATTTTCAATTCGTTATTGTTTTTTCTTTTCTTTTTCTTTTTTTTTTTTTTTCTCTCGCAAATTTTTCCGTATAGCGTTTGGAGGTGCCCACGTTAAAACGCACGTAGACACCGATGGAATCACTTTTGGAAACGATATCGCGTGTTGCCCGATAAGACGGAACGTTCAACTGTAACACTGCGGGCGGGTACAACATGGGCGCTGTTTCCGCACAATTATTATAGTTTTGTCGGCCGATACTGTTTGAAACTGATGGCGATGACGTTCAGACGTTTCGCGCGCGCCTGCACGGCAGAATCGATTTTGCACACGCGCGCAGTGACGTCAAATACACACGTGCGAAATGGCTGTTGTCGCCGTTAACAAGTGTGCGACTTGCGCGCCCGACAGAATGAGAGGCGCGCGCCGAGAGCCCCGGGTACACAAACGAAACGGAATTGCGCAGAAACGCGTTCCGCCGATCGAATACACCTCGTGTTGTTTCCCAAAGGACGCGGCCGCCCGTGTGCCGGGACTTTCAGTAGCTGCGCGCGCGCGCCGTGCACAACAATTGAACGGATTGAACCGAACGGACGGGCGGCGATGAGAACGTTAATAATTTCGTTGTTTTTGTGTTGCGCGCCGACGCCGCCGAATGCCAGTGCGCGGGACGGCGGACCCGAATACCGCGATATCGAGAGAACGGTCGGCGCGCTGAAACGTATTGTCGAAGCGGACGTGTGGAAAAACGATTTGAGCACGAGGGACGTGCTGTTCAAAGGGAAAATAACGAGGCTAGAAGACCGCCCGATCAAATTCCCGGCGGAACAGACCGGATCGGACAGCGAGTCGGACGACGGGCTGGCGGATCGGAATGCCGAAGATTTCGTCAACAGAAAAACGCTGATGAAGGTGTCGGAAACGTCGAAACTGATGTACACCGCGTTGGGATGTAAGTTTTCCGATTTGATTGTCGAGACGCTCAGGCATTTCGCCAAGATAAACACCGAGTGTCAGAACATCGAATTGACACGGAGTGCAGAAAAATGCGTGAACGGCGCCGTTGCCGTTTTAATCGCGCACAAACGGTACTTCGTGAAGATGATGTACAATCTGTTTGTTTTCGCGGACGCGTTCCCGAATTTGAAATTTGCCGATCAAACGTTAGTGAAATCGTTGATGTCCGTCAACTCGTATCTGCATTACCTCGGCAAAAACGAACGGTACAGAGGCGACGTGAAGCTAAACCCGCACAAGAAGGTGTTGGCTCAAATGATCAATCTGGTGGAACGTTCGAGGTGCCGGAAATGCCCCGTCATTCACGACCGTCTGTATTTCCCGCGGCGGAAGGGCGAGATACCGATTTCGAAACAAGCGGTCAACGACGATTTCGAAAGTACGATCCGCGGTATACTGTCGCCGGTGACCCGTCAACTCGAATCGTATTACGAGGACATCGACGTGACGAGTCTTATTACACCAGACGCGGCGTCGTCTTCCGATCGGCGGCCGTACGACGACGGGATGTACGACACGGAAAACGTGTTGCTGGGATTCGTGTTCGACGCCCGCTATGACGACTACACGGCGTATTCGGCCGTCGGTACCGTGGAGCTGAAGCAATCGGTCAGATACGTAAACATCGGCCATCGTAACTCATCGCGCACGAATGTCGTCGCGGCCATGTCAATTAAATCGGCCAATAATATCATCAACCCTAGCGTTCCGAACAGCGCGAGCGACAGGCGGAACAAAGCGAAAACGCTATTGATCGACGTTTACCAAAAGGCGGCGCGCGACTACGACCTAGAAGCGATGTACGACTATCAGACGTTATTGGTGACCGTTGTCGGCGAATTGTTCTCCGCGCAGTTTTACCATTTTTTCAACGAATCCGCCGGGAAATGCTACGGCAGCCCCGAGGGCGACGGTTTCTTGGCGTTGTTGCAGTTGGTGACCGTTTACGGAGTATTCGTCAACGTGTTGTTGCCGGATAATTTCCCGCCCGACCGCGCGAACGCGGCCAGGCGGCTGTACGGCTTGGTAACCCGCGACTTGGAACACTTCTCGGTGTTGTCCGCCGACACGTTGGCCGGACACAGAGAAAACGTGAGAATAATCGACAACTGGCATTCGCAAGAGTTCGTGGAAAAACTGAAACACATATCGTTGAACCGTTTGATCAGCAACGTGGTCCATCATGAAAATTTCGACGGTTTCCGACGGCTGTTCAGGCTGTTTCTGGGCGAGCCGAACACGCTCAGGGGATATCGCATGCACAACGAAAACGACGGCGACGAAGAGGGGAAAACGACCGGGCCGGTGTGTTTGTCGGCGTACAAACTGCGGCAGAGCATGTTTCTGTTACAAATACTGATGTTTGGACACGCGAAAAAACTGGTGCCCCACAGACAGTTGAACGGCACGGATTTCGCGGTATTGACGGCGGTGGACGGCGTAAACGAGAAACTGGCCAACGCGTACGATCGGTACGCTTACGATTACGACGAAATCAAGGCGATACTGGTGCCCGTGTCGATGCGTTTGAGAAACGTGAAAATCGACGACGGCGACGGATACAACAATTGTCTGTTGACACAGTATTGCCTTTTGACGGCGAATTTGCTCGAACATTTCGAAATAAACAATTGCACGCTGATACATTTCAGCGACGAGATGTACGCGGAACTGACGGATGACCGCGGATTGTTCGTATACGACGGCCAACAACGCGCCGTCGACTTCAACGTCGCGTTCGTGAACGAGTTCTTCGCTGTGGACACCAGAGAGCCGAGCGTATTGGACGCACTGCTGCCCGACCGAAGAATAGCGCACAATACGAGTCCTTCGACGACCACGTGGTGGGTCCACCGATATTTTCCGGACGGTATTTTCGTCGTCTACAACGGCTCGTTCAATTCGAATAAAATCAACTGGGACGGGACCGTGGTCACGATGAACAGCGCGCTGAAAACCGTGACGGACAGCGACGTGATCGAGTACGGCCATTTAGTCAGGTATCAGCTGGTCCGGCTGGAATGGTCCGTACACAGCGTTTTCAAAAAAATGTTGTACGTCGCCAATCACGTACGCGATTATCCGTTAGAACCTACCGGAGCCGGTAGCGACGAGACGGTCGGTCTGTTGACGATAAAAAACGATATCTCGACGATACAAAACCTCTCGTTTCCGGTGCCTATAAGAACGTTTCTGTTACCGATATTCTCTGAATTTACGAGAATGATCGATGCGATATTTGACGGACCGAATGACGGGGAAAACGTTGAACGACTAATATGCAATTGTATATCTACGATCGAAGAGCAATCGCGGTATTTGTGCGCAATCGTGGCCCGAGACGACAGCGCCGGTGGAAACGACACGAGCGAAGACATCCGAAACGACGGACTCCCGAAACCGACGATAATTTCTCTGGGTCGTATTCACTGCGAACTTCTAGACGATCGCGAATACTTAACCGCGGTTTTAAAGCCTTCGGCCGGTTTCAACGCTAATATCATATCACACAACGATTTCTTTTACATTTACTAGATAATATAAGTATTATAGGTATGTACAATGTATATATATATATATTTATAATGCGGCGTATGATGTTCTATACGCGGTTTAATTTTTAATCGCTATAACGATAAGTATACCGATATGTTTAACAGCAGTGAGGAAGTATTGTGAAAACCGATTGCTCATTGGCGTCGGTAAGATATGGGGTGAGAAAAGCGCACCGATATGACGAATGCACGCTTAATAATTAATGGAATGTGTCGCGTATAATATACATTTTTTATGATAATATTAATCCGTGGTTGATGTATTTTCCAAAATGTCCCAGGCCTTTTGCAGGACTCCTACACTCCTGGTCGAACGCCTGGATCAAGATGGCCGCGGGCCCAAGGACGTAAAGCCCACTTTGGGATATAATTCGTGTTCACGCCATGTTCGTTAAAAACGTTTATTGTACACGAATGAATATAAATATCACCCGTTTTCAAACGGAACTATTGAATTGGCTCCCAAGATTTATGTACCGAGTTGGCACTCTCATCACCCGTTTCGTAAATCCGTCGGCTATAAACATTTTTCGGAATAATAATTCAATTACGTATTCAAATAGTTTAAAATACAAATATCGCATTTTATGTTCGCCCGCACACAGGTGTACACGGCGTCGCGTAACAACGTCACATTCGGTTGTTCGCGCGGCGTACCGTCCGCGCTGGGTCGTGAAACCTTCGACCGTCGCGCACGCACCCCCTCACGGCTCGCCGTTCCGTTCAGGAGACTGTCTCGTCCTTACCGTTCTGCACAAAGCACCGGACACGCGCACGGTCAAATACATATTAAACGCCAATCTTTCCCCGTCACGTTCGCTTTTCACGATACATTTTCTCTACCACGATACCCGTGTTTGTTTTTCTATTACGTACTACTTCACCGTTCCCCTGTTTCCATTCTATTTATATTCCACTATACATGGCGCCCGACGTGGGGCTCGAACCCGCGACCCCGAGATTAAGAGTCCCGTGCTGTACCGACTGAACTAGCGAAATCATACTGTCGTATCGTATTATATTGCGCGATTATGATGCGTACATTGAAATTGAACGTGTCCATCGTCTAGTAACACTGCGGCAGTATATTACGCAGTCCACGTTTATTTTGTTCGTTTATTATTTTGAAAAGAGAACATCTGTACTAGATATGTGACACGGACGTGTGCACTTCTCTTAACTTCTCAAAAACATCAAAAAAAAAAAATAATAATTGGTAAAATAGGTACTTATGTAGGTAAGGAATAAGATAAAAAAAAAAAAAACGTTAACGTAATATTATAACTTTATTAGTGAGTATTGGTGCCTCATGTGTGTGTTAAACATAATAAAAACTACAATATTTCACATGTTACACACACGACACGACTACGCATAAAACGTTTTGATTTCGAACGTTACAATTCGTTACAATACAGGTGATTATATTTCGTGAACCTGCTGCTGTGTATAGTAAAGACGCAAATTACGCAGGCTACACGAGGTTAAACAAATCATCAACTGCGATTATTTTACTCTCCATTAACGATTCCAAAATCTTCGACGTGAACTTCAAGTCTGTTTCGAGCGAATAGTGGATTCTATGGAACATTGATTTGAGGTCAGTCTCCGGTAGGATATTATTGTCGTCCACTTCGGACGTTTTCAACAGTTCGAGCTGTTCCTCGAGTGTGTCGCTCATTTTTCGCGAGTTTTCTTCAAAATTCTCATCGAACATGAGCGGGTCGTAATTTTGAAATATTTCCTCGTATTCGTGTACGATTGTTTTTACGTAATCTCCAATTTTCAGCGGAAACGAAAGCTCACCGAACAAAATAAAAACGTCGTTTATCGACGCCACTAAAGTATTTTCGCTGTCGTCCTGTATGATAGTTGAAAAATCGCTCGCGTGCCGGGTAACGAATAACATTTTTCTGAAAACGTTACAAATCAGTAATTTCAGTTTGAATATTTGAAACCGGATCAAATGGCCGACATCGATTATGTCGCGGGTGACGCTCGTGTTCACGTTATTGACGTGCACCTCGACTCCGTCCCAGAAAACGGTCGTCAAATTGAATTCACTGTCGTAGTATTGGAAATACGCGTTGGGAACTAATTTGTCGACCAGCGACAGACTGTCGTCCACGTAATCGTCATCCGTGCTGCTAACGTGGAACAATTGTTCCACTTCTTTTGTGATTTTCGTTATCCGTCGCGTTATGTAACGCGTATCGAAATCGGCGGGAGTGATTACGATTTTGGAACCGGCGGGCACGTACATGTGTTCGTCGTCCAATATGGTTTTGTACATGTCGAGGTTGTACGGTACCGGCGCCCCGTAGCCGTTGCAATTGTTCAGCTCGTAACCTTCTACCGCGTTCAAGGTCAGCAGTAGATACTGTTTCAGCACGATGCACTGCAACGACGAGTACCGGTGGCTTTTGACGTAGATGGCGAGCGGCGCGAAAATGTTGATGATCTCTGCGAAGGATTCGTCGTGGTCGTTAAAGTTTTCCAGTACGAGGACTAGATTCCGGACGAGAAGTTTAATCGAGAGCAACGTGGACAAATGCGGACCGTTGGTTTTTTTCACGTGGTGTTCCGATTGGTGCATGGCGGCGATCGACGATCGCACCAGAAACAGGGTTTCTCGGATTTTCGGCATTTGCGGGCACTCGAGCTTGACCTCGTTTTTCCGGCGGGAATCCGTTTTGAAAATGTGATGGTATTCAAGCGTGTTCGGTTCGCTCGAAAACAGGTGAAACATTTCGATGACGGTCGATACGAAAATAGGCTCGTTTCCGATTACCGTTTGAACGAACTCCGACATTTCTGTCTCTTCTATAAACGCTTTCGACACGTCGTCATCAACGATTACCGTGTCGCGTGCGCAAAGGTCTATCGTTTCTCTCGACAAGCGCACTGGTGCATCACCGCCGTAATCCGTCCGAGACGTTTTAAACAATGTGATTTTTCTGATACTCGTTGATGTTGCTTTTTTCATTTTCGCGGCGTCCAGATCGCCCCACACCGAGCGTCTTATTTTTTTCACCGAACGCAATAAATGCGGCGGATAATTAGCCGGCACTATTCGCCTTAAATACACGTCGAAAGCGTCCAGTTCGCTTTCAAACATCGAACGGTTGTTCTTTACCCGGTGAAATCGCAGACAAAAAAAATCTTTTATCATGCCGACGAATAACATATAGTATCTGTACACGTCTCTGATTTGCGAACGTCCTATGACACATTTAGCAACGTCGTATAGCGCCACAGGCTTATTGCCGAACCATTTCACTGTTAATTTTTCGATTGCCGGATATATCGCAAACACATGCGACATCATTATGACATTGGGATCGTACATTTCGCTAACGAATGTCGGCTTTCCATTAGATTGCTGCAGCATTCCGAAATCTATTTCTTCAGACAAACGTTCAAGCCTGTCTTGTAATTCCTCAAACACCGATGTTTTCGCCGCGTCTTCGAATTCGCTTTCATAATGATAATAATCATAATCCGATATCTCGCAGTATTTACATCGGAAACGTTCGATCAAATTGATCATTCGAGCGACTACCGTTTTTCTCGGCTCTGGCGTATTCATTTGAACGCCCAAATAGACGGATACCAATGACAACAGAAACGTATTGTCGGCATGCTTTAAACTCGGATATAGATCTCTGAACGAGAACAAGTTATATATCATTTTCGCCAAATGATCTTTTAAATAAAGGAAATAATCGCCGACGTAAAACAAGAGCTTCAGCGTATCGACGATAACATTCGAATACTCGCATTCTAAAGCGGTGTATATTGATTTCGAGACCCTCAACAAATCCTTAAACACGGTGACATTACTTTCCGTGCTATTACGTTCACTCACGTTCACCACTGCAGTACGACACTTTAAGAGTCTCCTCCATACGTCTTTCATGTTGACCAATTCACCGTCGAATAAAATGTTCCGATTGCATATTAACTTCCACCAAATTTCGTTGTTCACGATCGTTTCCAATATTTCAATTTTCCGTTCAACATCGTTCCGTTGAAATAGTTTTTCGATCGCGTAAACACCGTAGTTATAATAACAGCACCATAACAGAAATACCGCGATACGTGTTGTTGAACATTCCATTGTGCTACAATATACAGATAAAGAACGGCAGATTTGCAAGCAACTATATTATAATGTTGTCAATAACGATATATTATAATATACGTGTAATTAACATACATTAACGTGTATTCGAAATAATATTGGCAGGAATTTGTGGCGTTTTTTTTCCGACGATTTCCCTCAATGCCGTCGCAGATATTTGTTTGCTGTACAACGTATACCAACGTTACAATGTATCGCACGCAGTACGGATTGCACTTGGTCGAGCACCTGCAGAACACCGCCGCGGTTGCAGACATTTGAACAGCCGTCCTCGAAATTATTATTATTAGTTGGCTATCCATCGATAAGGCTGGGACGTAACGACTAACGTGTTACGGTTGTTATACGCAGCCGATATAAAAAACTAATAAAAAAAAAAAACACTAACAACTTGTATATAACTTGTATTATAACATACACGGCGAATTCGTTTTTCCTCTGCCGCCTTTGTAACTTGCATATCGCAGGGACCAATGATAATTACAATCGATGACGTTATATGCAATATTTCAATTAAGTCACTTTGACGTTTTGTTGAAATTCTACAATACAATTCAACTTTTGCGTATTTGTATTTTACACCATAATAATTGATGCGAGAACGAGACGACTCCGGTTTTTCTTTAAAATTCGGTTTTAAACGTTATCTGATAAAAACAGTTATTGCGCGTATAATTATGCAAGTCTGTTCAAATACGATACAATTCCAGTGACCCGTACAGGAAATGTAACGTCTTTGGAGCTGTCTCGTTTATTTTTTCGCCGGAAAACAAGATAGATCCGAAAAGTATTTGTGAAAGATTATTTATGTTATTTTTACTACATAATATTATTATGTATTAGTATACAAATTTACTGACTAAAGTTCGAAAAATCTTTTATTTTTGATAATATGCATACTAAAATTTAAAAAAAAAATATACATACAGGGTGATTCACTGAGCGTGCTCACCCCATTTTTTTGGTTAAATTTTGCATAAATTGCGGAACTTTTAAGTGTAGTTATTAAAGCCGATATTTTCGAATACTTAGATTTTTTATAAGATTTAAAAAGTATCCTGTGGTGATACCGACTTTGATTTTTCAAATGAGAACCTATATTAAAAATTCTATAAATATATGGAGTATTACTTTCAATACATATCGGTGTCAGTATTTTTAATTACCCTTTGGGCATCTCGTACACGAGAGTCTCCAAGCGTCTCTCAAGACGGCCCTCCGGCATTGCTGCTAGGAGACGTGAAAACATTAAAACGAACACAACCTCCCCAACAAGACCGGTTGTAAATTGGCCAGATATCCCTTTCGAAATACACGTCATCACCAACGCCCCATGCCGGTGTTAAGCCTTCTGCAAAGGCTTAACGACTTCGTTCTCGATCGTACGGATGGACTCTTTTCTAGAACATTTAAGAAACAAACTGCCCTACAATTTTATACTCGTGTTATTTTTCGTCACCCTTATATTTGGGAGTAAAACAACTACCTACTTTTGATTTTCAAACGGCAACCTTTATTGAAAATTCCATAAATAGACGGAGTATTCGTTAATATAAATTTCAGTGTTGAGATTTTTGATTTCCGTAAATCCGTTGACGAGATATTCCACTTTTAAGTTTGCGTTGGCGGAGAGAAGTGGAGTATCATTTGGGAGGCGGTACGGTGCGCGGCGCGTTGATAATGCACCACTACTCTCCTCCAACCTAAAATTAAAAGTGGTATATATCGTCGACGGTTTGACCGAAATCAAAAATTTCAACACTAAAATATATTTTAACTATTACTCCGTCTATGTATGGAATTTTTAAAAAGGTTGCAATTTGAAAATCAAAAGTAGGTAGTGGTCTTACCCCCAAAAATAAGGGTGACAATAAACAGCACGAGTACAAAATCGTAGAGCAGCTTCTTTCTTAAATGTTCTAGAAAAAAATTCCGAAAAATGTTAACATTTCCGAGGTAGTGAGTGTACCTACCTACTTAAATGGATCACCTGGTATTGTACAAGTTAATACCTTTTGAGATTGAAACCTTTCACAGTTGGAAAAAAAAAACATCAATAGAATTAAGAACATGGCATTATTATTATTATTTATTATCATTGGCGTACCACGGGGGGAGAGGCGGGGTTCGTGGAGGTTAAACCCCTACCCGTTGGTTGTTTTTTTGTTGCAATCAATTGGGTTTTAAATTCGTGAGTCATGTGAAAATTCATTGTCGCGTCGTATATTGTACATTTACAATTACAATATAAATGTGTAATGTTACACAAAAACATTATTAAAAATAAAAAGCGCATTGGATTTTGTGTTGTTATTTTATTATTATTTTTTTTTTCATATTATAACTGTTGAAAATAATATTAAACGCCATAACCAGAGCAGTGTGCGCCGACAGCCCCTTGCATACTTCACTAGAAATTACCGACAGCCCATTGGAGATCCCCGAGAACGCCACTGTTTCTAACGAGGAGCGAACCGCGGAATTGGCGCCGCCGGGCCTCGGGTGTGGCCGGGCATTCCGGCGCTGAACCGATAACGCCGCTGGCGCGCGGCTGCACTGCGATTGCCCGTTGTCGCCGCGAATGTGCCGGCACGGCGGCGGGCGCATGCGCACATGGTTGGGAACCCCTAGATAACAGCGTACCGAATATCAAATGATATTGTATTATTGTCCATGTAGGTATTATTTTATTTTTCGCATCCATTAGTTGATTATCGCGCGTTCCGGGCAAATATTAACTCTGTACAAAGTATTACGTTTCGTATTATTATTATTATTATTATTATTATTATTATTGCATATGTACAATTTATATACGCGTACGGCCGTCTACTATAACGCTGGGCCGCCGCCGAAAGTCCGTCTACGTTGTGGTTTAACGAACGGTGGATATTCGTTCGTCGTTTCAAAGCGATAATTACGCGTGAGTATATTGCGTTGATATTTTTCCCGCGAGTTTTCCCGCGGCCACTCGACACTGGACGCTGTTGATTGCCGTGGCGGGTGTTGTGCGTGACGGACGGCCGACGGGAACATTAACGTCAGTCGGTGTTCCGTCGCGAAGTACCCCGGACCACAGTTGACGACTTTTGTTTTGTTTGTTTTTGCCCGCAGTTTGGTTCGGCTCTTCGACCCGGGGCCCACTCGCGTGCAGCGCACCGCGGGACGACGCGGCAACGTCACTGTAGTTTCGGGCCTTGGTCGCCGTCGCATGTGGAAGTCGCGAACGTCATGTCCAAAAAAAAGGATCTCGAGAAACGGAACCAGTGGTCGTGGGCCGACAACATACATCCCAACGACTTGGACCACGATCACGTACTCAAAGCCTATCGCATAGGCCTTCCCAAATGCAAACCCCTTGCTTGTCGGTGAGTCGAAAACGTAAAATTATGTAATTTTTAAACGAGTACTTGGCATCAGACACGGGCATCGAGCTAAATATTCGTATGTATTATACGGCATTGTAAGCCGACATACCCGACACGATTGTCGACCACTAGATAGCGTGACGAAATACAATTCAATTATAATAGGTATATTATTATGGTTTATTCAAAATCTTGGAGAACTCGTATTAACTAAATTATTAATTAATGGGTTCATGTTTAGAATACGGCAATTTATCGCACCCGGTTTGAATTAAATTTGTTGGTAGCAAATGTGAAAATGACTTACGTTTAAGTATCCATTCAGGGTGTTCCTCGAAGATATACCCTTTTTAATAATCTCTGAAGATATTACAATGGGTATATCACAGTGGGACACCCTGTTTATCAGGTACTTACCTATATTGAAATTTTGTCGAACGTTGCCCATTACCTATTTATTAAAAATGTTTTTTTTTTTTTTTTATTGAAGCTGTATCAAATCAATCGGGTATTAAAATTTAGTTAAACTGAAACTAAATAGCGTAAAAACATATGGATCCGTGTGAAAACCGATGTTATCGCCTAACGCGGGTAGGTTATTCTCTAGTTAACATCGGTTTTCACACGGATTAGTAGAATTTAAAACTGCTGTTGCTTAAAAAATATTCATTGGATATAAATGTTTAATACATTAAAATTTTCAGAAAAATATACCTTACACAATGGCTATCTTAACATTTTCTGAAAGTAATAAAATAAAGTCTTTTTTTAAATTTTTGTTTACTAAAAAAAAAAAATTGAATTTAAAAATAAATATTTATACTCTTCATCCCTGTGAGTAATGTATGAAAAAAAAAAAAAAAAACAGAATTTGATTAGCTTTATTATCTTCAAAGATTTTCAAAGGACAGCCTGTATATATGTATTTATCATATATAATTGATCATATCACTTTGTTTCTCTTTACAACTTTTTTTGTTGCATGGAACATTCTGTTGGGAGCTTTTTATAATGTTGGCAGCAAAATGTATATGCATGTATTATAGGAAAACCGCATTCATATTATGTTTAATATCTATGAGTCTAGATTAACATTTCCCAACTTTTTTACCTCATGTCACACTAATTCTAACCTATATTTAATCATGACACACTATGTTATGTTTTCTGCTTTATTGATATTGGGCTTTTATTATATTAATAGCTAAGTAATATTGTACATATCAGTAAATTACCTACTATCGAATAACTTAAAATTGGGTGTTTATTTAGGTTAGAAAAACTCATAAAATAATATTTTACTGTATTACAAATATTAAATATTTTTATTTGTGAAATCATACGTAAAACATTTATTGTTAATATCCATGACATTTCACGAAACAACTATGGAGACCTCGCAGCACATCAATGTGTTACGGTACACCAGTTGAGAAAAGCTGTGTTTTTTTTTTTAAAAAGTATCTGCTTTTGATAAGGATGTACACTATTCATACCAACAAATGTGTAGGTGTCAAATCTATACAGTAATGAAAAATATATATAAAGGAAATATAAATATAAATACTAGATCTATTAAAAACAATTGGTAATATAAATACAAATATATATTAATTCATTCTTGCAACTGCTACCATTCATTTGTCTGCGTACCATCAGTGGTATGC